TGGTAATATCAAATATTTGGTGATTTATTTATTGTACTTTGGTAGAGCAGGTAGTTTAGGCGACACTGTGATGCTGTGCTAAAATAACTGCATTTTATTCGTTTTACTGCGTTTATAATCCTCTTCGAATAAATGTTTTATTTCTCCAGGTGGATTAGAATTACAGAGAAATAAAAACAGAAATAGCCGCAGTTCCTACATTTTGTGAATGTATCCATATGGGCATCAGCAGATATGTACATTAAAAGTATCCATATTGGTGCGTCCCTATTTAAAATCTGTATCGTATCAGTATGGGCCGCAAAATGTTAGCACTGGTTTGGCACTAAAAAACAGTGCGTAGCCTTTTTGAATGTGGTTCATTATGCCTTTGAGTATTGGTTGTTGTATTCAAAACAGCATCTTCCTCCAACTGCCTCCAAGTCCCGTCTTTACTGCTTCAGAAAACCAGTTGGCTGTTCTGAAGTCTCTGTCAGCTTTAAGTCAGCTTCGTGCAGTACGGAGACAGGGAGCTAATTTTTTACTTACTGTTGCCCGTTAGAGTTCTTTTCATCTCGTAATTCCTCAGCAGCCTCCTTCCTCTACTCCTCTAGAGCTGATCTTAAGAATGGCATAAATCTCAGAATAGCAGGGAGGTACAGTAGTAGTGCTTATTTTAGGCCTGCTGAATGGCCCTGTCTACTGTGTGTGTATCTGTGTGGGCCTGAAAGCTTCTATCTGCTGTTTTACGTCTGCCTGGGAAGTGGAGCATGAAAACGATAGTCAGTCAGAAGGAAACTTCCCTGAAAAGAAGAGAGCGTCTTTATGCATGTTATTGTGTGTGTTTTAGTCTTCGTGGGCCGGAATGCGTCTTTTAAGCGTGTTCCATGTTCTTGTTTGTGTTTATGAGGACTGTGCTGTTTACTGATGCACGGTTGTTGAACATGCATGTCTAGTTCTTGTTAGAAGATTGTCAGGATTGGTATGTTATTTATGTTTTCTGTGAAAGAGAAGCGAATAGCGAAAGAGAGAAAGAATTTGTCCTTCTGTAGATGTCTGAATGACTTGGATCGTCTAAGTGACTGCAAAAAAAAGAAAAAAACATATGGAAAGTTTTTCCTCTGTCTGCTATTAGACGACTTTGGAAAAGCAGTTTGACTTTCTGACCATGTCAGATGATAAATGATTGTTTTTTTGTTTGTTTTTTTAAGTTATTTTTGATAGGATTATCTTTTTTTGATTATATTTAGGTGTGCATGACTGCAAAGATGTGCTGTTATGGTGTAAAGTATATGATCTTCTGTATTGTTTTTGAGATATATTCACATATCTCACCTAAAATGGGCTTGTAGGTCAAAACTCCCATTCCTCCTCAGTCTAAACATCCTTACATTTTCGAGCGCTGGACTATTTCAGGAGAGGTTTCTGAAGTATAAAGAAAATAAAACAAAACAAACTCAGCAGACACTGTGCAGTCAGAACTGTGGCTGGGTTTTTTCCCCCCTCTCCCTCGCCTTCCTGCCCCTTTAAGCCATTTTAACGAAGCATGTGGAAGTCATTTCAGCCCCCAGCCTGCACAAGTGGGTACGAGTGTCGTCATATGGAACCAATTAAGCTCGGCGTAGGGGACACAAGCCAGCTTTTTTTTTCTCTCTCTCTCGCTCTCTTTTTTTAAAACGGCAACATCACTTAGCCAGCACGGCTGGCCTTTACACCATCTGACCTGTCCATGCCACTTTAAGAAATCCCCAACAACGTTCGCTTCAGAAAAAACAAGCACATGTTTTCTGTCTCGCTCATTTCAATATCAAAGGAGCCTTTTTATTTCAGAAACATATTTACGTGGCCCACCCGGCCCCTGCGGACAGTGAAGCCCATTGAAGCTTGTTCAGCGTTTTCCTGGTCTGGGCATTATTATGTCACTGGGGCCACGGAAAGCCGTCCTGAAGTGTTGAGATTGATTGAGCTGCTAAATAGGCGAATCATAACACTGCATGGACACACTATAGCCTGACGCTTTAACACACTGACCTACATAATCCACTCCAGACCCACGCAGACACATTCTCTTCACTAAACACTCATCTAGCTCTTCATCTGAAGCTTTTAAAGCCCCGGTGAGGATGTTTTTTAGGGTTGAATTGCAGTGAATTAATCACTGCCTACTGACTCGGTTTTCGTACTGTATATTAATATATAACAGGCCTATTATAAGTAAATCAGCTCCAAGGTATATCTATGCTGATGTCTCTTTGGAACAAACATACAAATAAGAAATGACAGTTGCAGTATGAAAATAGTTTTATTATTTAGCAGTGTTGCCACTGTACCACAGTACAGTAACTTTATAGGAGAAGGAAACCTGTAACATATATTAATGCAGTGAGATTCGTCCTAAGTAATTTCGGTCCGTTTCTAGTACATATAAAGGTAGAGATGGCATATTGGTATCGATGGGAGTCAGTAACAGGTCGATGTCAGCAGAAGATGCAAGATCAGATATCGGGGGGGAAAAATAAAAAGAATGAACCAGATCCAATTTTTTAACAAATCTGTCCTGAAACTGCACTCACTCGCACTGTGTGGTGAGATGCTGAGTAGAGTTCCTGCAGAGTGTTTGAGTTGTGTACAGTATGATAGCCTAGATTTAGATTCTCCTCTTAAGTGGAATGCTTCAAATAAAAATTACAAGTTTTAAAGTTTAGTAGTTTTTAAAGAAAAAGTCTGACTAGGATTGATATTGGCCAGTAGTGATGGTTTCTATATTGGCATCTGTGTCAGTAGTGGAAAAAGAAAAAGTGGTATTTTGCCATCTGAAGGGCAGCTGGAGTTTTCAAACGAGGGAGAAAAGTTATAATAATAATAATTTTTAGTGACCCTTATTAGTCTCACAACAGGGAAATTTCACCTCCTCATTTAACCCATCCGTGCAGTGAAACGCCACATACACAGTAGTGAATACACACACACTACAGGGCAGTGAGCACACTTGCCCGGAGCAGTGGGCAGCCCTATCCACGGCACCCAGGGAGCAGTTAGAGGGGTTAGGTGCCTTGCTCAAGGGCACTTCAGTCATGTCCTGTTGGCTCAGGGGATCGAACTGGCAACCTTCCGCTAACAAGGCTGGTTCCCTAACCTCCAGTCCATGACTGCCCCATCTGTTATAATGTTTTGAAATATGACAGTGATGATATATGAAATGGTTAAAGTTTTCCTTCCTCGGGAAGCTCATTTACTTGTGTCCACTACTTAAGAGAACATAATATGATAGCACAGTATGTATCATGTTAGGAGTTGGGCATGTCCTAATGTCCAGTGTCCCAAATGTTTCCTTGATATGATGTAGTTAATCCTTTAAGGCTGACTCGAAAAATTGGCTATTTCTGCCATTTTACTTTTAGTAATGCAACATCTGAATGCTCTTGTTGCGTTAATTTGATACGTGAGGAAAGTGATCTAACAAACTGAAAACTTGAGATGTGTATTCTGTTTGTGTTACAAATTACCTTTTGTAATTAATTATCTTCTGATTAATCAGTAATAAGCACTGATCCAGATTGTGCTCTGAATGAACTTGTGCACTCGCTCAGAAAAAAACACGGTGCATCCAACAAGAAAGGATTTGCATGTTCTGTGATATTGGGATCATCATAATAATTAATAGATATGCTGCAGCCCTGGAGTTTAGTGTTCTCTAATTTAACACTCCAGATTATCGAGCCTGTCATAAGGTGAATTGGGTGTGTTAGAACAGGGCACTGAGTTTCTCACCCTAATGGCGTGGTCACATTGTACTGCTGTCTCGATAGTTTCTTCATAGGGGTCAGGAGCCAAAGTCAGGCAAACACGAATTGTACTAATATGTGGTGGTTTTGGGGGGAATGTATATTTCAGTAAACGGTTAACGTTATCTAGTTAACTAGTGTTCTTTGCAACCATGTGTGACACGCGACATCATCTTCACTAAAGAACAGTTTCTCCATTAAGTATTTTTCAGAAAAAAGATACCACAGCTCGCCTGCTTGTTTTCTATTGGCTGACGCAGCCAAGATTTGCAAATTCGCAGGGTTAAAGTTCTTCTTGATGAACTCGGCACAAAGTGAAATTTAATGCTACCGGAATTGGTTTTTTGTCTTCTCGCTTTTTTTTCCATTCAAGTTAACTGGCTTTTTAGCCAGGCAGATTTTACTCCCATTCAGTGTGACCATGGCTTTAATGATAAGCTGAACACCTTTAATTACAGTAACACTGAACGTAGTTCAAGAGCTTCTACAATCAAAGTTTAAACTGGATCAAAAGCCACTGATGATGTTCAATCTAGATCTTGACGTGATGTGTAAATGAGCATAATGACCATGTGTTTTTATGTTACTTCGTTCCCTTTCATATTCCACCAGACTGTCTTTCTAAAGTCTGGAGCTCGCACGGAAATGAAGATCATGGTGAAATATATGTAGTGTGAAAGAGCTTTTGCCATATTTGCCTTCTCTCAGCTGTCAGAAAGGACCTCTCTCTAATGCTGTAATCCACCCCACACACCAAGCTCGTTCATCAAAGTGAGCTCATTCGGATTTGCATTTAAATACTGATTTTTCTTTCATCTGCTGCACTCTTTTCAGAAGTAGCAGCAGCCTGGAAGTATCAATGATAACTCCTTTTTGCCGTAATCTTCACTGCCATTTACACACTGTAGCCTGAAAGCAGTGCAAGCAATATTATAATTATAGTGTAAAACCAGAGGGTTAAAATTATAAATGACTGATTAGAATTTTCAAATTGTCACAAAATAATAATAACACGGTAATAAATGAGACTGTTTGATAATCAAACTTTCCTGGCTTAAATAATGTTACAGTATTGTCCAGGAGCATGCTTGTGCATTCCAGCTGTGTCTGAGCCCTTGGACGCAATGTTTTCCATAGCAGGACTCATTCTAATCCCACTTCGACTGCATCAGTCATGCATGAAAATTTGAGTAAGAGTTTTGCCTGAAATTCTTTCTCTCTGTGTCCATTTCTCAGGCCCGTCCGCGTCCAGTCCTCGGCTCCTGACTAAGAGTCTGTCTCTGGAGCCGGGCCCCTGCCCAGGAGCCCACGACACCCCTCAGCGCCTTTGCTCGGACCCCGGACCCCTGGGGCCCCAGCACTGCAACGGCACGAGTGAAAATGGGCCCCAAGATGCACCCCCTCCGCCCCCAAAAACCCGCCCACCTTTACCTGGCCCCAAACCACAAGGTATGACTTTCAGCCCTCTTTATATTAAAGGGACACTGCGGCCAAAATGAAAAATTTAATCATTGCTACATCTGTTGTAGTCGTGTCTACGTGCCTTCTACAGCAGTGCCGCAGTAGTCTCTAGAGTAAGATTTCTCAGTGAAAAGACCAGGAAAACCACCGTCTCATGCATATCTTGAAGGTGGGAGGAACATTTGAAAAACTACAAAAGCTTTAGGGTAGGTTTGTGGGGGCAGACTGCTTATTTCTTTATTTATTTTTTCGCTAGCTAGTGAACCAGAAGGAAACCAGATAGCTAGTGTTACTGCTAGGAGGCCAGATATCTTATTGCAACCATGATGGACAACTGTGGTAATTGGCTTCAAATTATCTTTACAGTGAAGAGAATGAATTTTATAAGTTCCACATCTTTTCAGAAAGAACACCGTTGCATATTTAGTAGACAAGACTTGGGGTGGCGTTAGGCGGACAGAGTATCCTATAAAGGCTTTGGTGTTAACCAGCACGCTAGCCAATTGCTCTGGCTTTATCATTTGCCTCTTAATATTATGTATTAGTTGCACTTTGCAGGTATTGTTTAATTGAATTGTGTCTAATATATAGCTTATATATATAATGTGATTGTCAATCGAGGTAAGGGTTACATTAATGCTGGCTTTGTTGTATTTGTTATCGTTTAGATCAGTTTCTGGACTAGCTATCAGGTTTGGTTGACACCACAGGGGTTCATAGTAGTTGCATGACGTATTTGCGTAATGCATGCTATATAATGTAGCAATGGCACACTGGTGAACAAAAACATGAAAGCTGTACAAATTTATGAATTCTGTCAAACTACTGAAGATGAAGAGTTGCTTAACAAGAGACGTAGCTCATAAAACACTATTTTTAGGCCAGACAACCTCTGTACGACATTTTTTTTTATCAAATGTAATATTTTTTTATATTTCCATGTTAACAAGTGGGTCGTTGACAAGTGTTAACATGAGCAGAAGTGCCTAAACATTTTCCACCACCCTGCATTCATCCTAATTGAACTCACTTTATGCACCTTACCAGAGTCTGCAGATTTTCAGTTTATTAGACCCAGATGTTTTAGGTTAGTATGGGTCTAAACTCTGCAGGAAGTTTATAGCAGGGTGGGGCAAAAAATTCCTGTCTGCCAGTTACACCACTGCATTATAGAAGTCGCTTTGTAATCCTTATGGAAAACTGTGTTGTAGGTCACAGAGTATTCCCAATGCATGCGATGCTTGTGACATTTAATTAGATAGTTGATTATTTGTTTAATTAAAATGTGCAAGTACAGCTTATCCAAAGCTTGGATACATGAAACAGAGCCCTGTGGGCCTGACACTGATTTGTATGTCCCACTGGTATATGGTCACATGATGTAGCTAGTCTATTAATAACGATTGCTGTATTGATTTTGTCTCGCTCAGTGCCCCCGAAACCACCACATCTACAACAACAGAGTGCCCGTCGCCCCCGGCCCCCAGACAAGCCCCTCCCACCACCTCCATCACGCCCACTCCCAGCAGATCCCCGCCAGTCACGGGCCACGCTGTCGCGAGCTGAGGGAAGCTCCTCCCCTACATGTGTCCTATCACTAATCGAGCGATTTGAGAGGTGAGAGAGAGATTGTACTTTTACATTTATTGCGGCTGTTTACCATGTTCACATCGTATTCTGGAGCACGTCTCATGATGTATTATACTTATTATATTGGATTACTACCAGTTTTTCTTCCACTTTAATTATTTACAATGTAATTTTCTTATGACAGCAACCGGAGGGTAGTTCAAAGAAGGATTTCTCAGTTAGCTGGATGGCGTAAGTCAAAAACGAGGAGTGTCCTCTGTGCTTCTCCTGTCGTCCTCACATTGGGCTCAAATTCTCTGACTGAGAAATCCCTCTTTGTGGAAGTATCCCATAGGAAATTCCAAACTGTCATTCTTTTCTGTCTGTTCCCAGGGAGCAAATCATCATGGTGCCCGACATCACAGGTGGAGTGATGTGTACCCCGCGGGTCCCTGAGCAGCAGTCTGCTGTAGGGTCTTTAACCCCACCATCAGAGACCGTCCTGCCCTGCACCTCCATTCCAGGGCCTGTGGAGGCTCTTCTGGCCAAGCAAGAGCAAGAGGAACAGCAAGTGGAGGGGGAGGAGGTGAAAGAGGAGGTTCAAGAGGAGGACGAGAGTGAACTGGGTGCCTCCTGCTCCGAAAAGCGCTTGTCCATGGAGTCTGGCTACAGCGCCTCCGACAAACTGCTGGACGCTGTGGATATGAGGGACCTCAATCAGTCAGAAATTCCTTCGGACCGATTGTCCCTCCCCCCGCCGCAGACAGACGGCAAACTGGCCAACAGGGACAGTGGCATCGACAGCATCAGCTCTCCATCTCACAGTGAGGAACTATGCTTTGCTGGGGACGAGGATCGCATCGGGCATGAAAGAGAGATGTGTCCGTGCAGCCCCACTGCCGCTCTTCCTCGCCTCTCCTCCTCTTCCTCATGCGGCTGTGTGGAAGGAGCCGTTGGAGAGGGAGCCACTGCAGCAGAGGGTGGGAGGGACTCGGAGGGGGACAGCGATTTGGAAGAAGGGAGCGGGGATGAGAGTGAGATGAACCCCATGGCCCTGCAGCCTCTCCCAAAAGCAGAGAGGCAGGACTCGGTTGAGGTGAGTTTTGTTGGGAAAATGTAGCGTATTCACACAGATTTAGGAATTTACGGATTAGCATTTAGTCACTGGGAATGTTGAGGAACTTTGGCAGAAAATCAAATTTGCAGTTTATGTAGTCTGTGGGACTTTTTGCTGCCCAACTTTGCTTCTTTAGTTATGCATTTGAACTATGAGATTAATTAGTTAACAAGTAAGGAAAGTTTGTAAATACGAGAGTTTGATTCAGTATGTAAACATTGTTAAAGTTTCAGAATATACCGATTCAAATTGAGCTGTTCAAGTGGTTAATTCATTGTTTTTGTGATGGCACGAAAACCAAAGCATTTATAAAAATCTGACCATTCAGCCTATAGCTGTTTAACTTGGTTTATTGTGGCTGCTGACATTCTAAGAAAGTTATAAGAAAGGTGTAAGTTATAAAAAAATTGTGTGACTGCTTTCTGAATGAGGCACAATACAAGGCAGCTAATTAGAACATTTTACATATATCAGTTTTAACAACACAGTCACACAAACAGCCTCTTTAATTCAGATGGATAATTTGAATTTTAATCATAAATTATGCCTGTTTTTTTGTAAATAAAACCAGACAAATGTCATGTCAGTTTGAGTGTGATAATTCAGGCATCCAGTTTGCGCAGAGCTAATCGGCAGAGTGTATACTATAAACTTCTATTAGTTGTTAGCTACATTAGCCCCATAGCTCCAGTGCCAAACTGAAGAAGCAAACCTCAGGCTCTAAATATATCTTGGCTGATCAGCTGTTTTTGGGATGAGGGTAAAATTGTGTAAATCTGATTTTTTTCTTTCAAATTATCACTTTACTTAAGAACATGAAAAACGTTCTCAGCAATTCTTAAAATGGACAGAAACACCAGGAACTCTGTAATACTAGTGGTTGTAAGTGGAAGTTGAAAGGTCAGTTCAAAGGTCAATTCAACAGATTGTCTGAAGTGTTCCTCCTCAAATGTGCACACTAAAGAATGTTAACTTCCTCCTTTCTCCTGGACGAAACAGAGCTTTCACCACACTCTGAGCACTTTAGACAGGCGATTTTTTGCTTGTCACTGCAGATGTTTGCAGATTGGCCTCACTCAACAGGAGTTTGTGTGTTTATGTGTGTGTTTCGCCTTGCAGCTGTCAGTCCAGCAGCGAGTCTTTAACATCGCCAACGAGCTCCTACAGACCGAGAAGGCTTACGTGTCCAGACTTCACCTACTGGACCAGGTGTTCTGTGGGCGGCTGATGGAAGAGGCGCGGACCCGCGGGTCTTTTCCCTGCGAGGTGGTCATGGGCATCTTCTCCAACATCTGCTCCATTTACTGCTTCCACCAGCAGTTCCTGCTGCCAGCACTGGAGAAGCGCATGGAGGAATGGTGAGTGGTGGTGGGAGGATTAGAGAGAATGAAGAGAAGGAGGGAAGAAGGATGAAAAGGAAAATGTCAACAAAAGCTAGAGCTGGGAAATATGGCAAAAAAATGTATATCACAATACTTCATGAAGTGTTCGTGATGCATATTCACAATATTAATTTCTTTCTGACGTTTGGAACAGATAAAGTAGTGCCACATTTAAACAGTACTATAAAAAATTATGAATACAATAATTTGTATTAAACATTTAAAATACTTTGCTGCCCTAAATCCAATTAATCAGGACTAACTATGCTTGGAAAAGCATGCTGTGATATAATTTATTAGAATAATGATAAATATTGTCATATTGCCCAGCCCTAACAAAAAGATGCTACCTTAAATAAACACTGGCACTCCAGATACTACCAGTAGCTGTTAGGCTCGTTTATTTTTTCCACTTTAAAATAGTTCCAAATTGTAGACATTTAGACCGCTCGTTGCTTTGAGTTATGGATAACCTTCTTTTACGTCACAGCAGTGGAAAAAATGGACCACAAAGAGGTTAAATGACCTTAACAAATGATTGGAAGTGAATAAGGTTTAATACAGGTTTCATATAGCTGATGCTGATCCGTGACAGATCGACAAAGAGAGTGACAGAAAAGACAGAGATCAGACTAAGCCAGCCAAATCCTAACAGTGCTGTCTCAGGAAGAACGACTTCCAGTTATTTCTCCTTCTCAACTAAAAATGTACTTGGAGGTGAGCATTTCACACTGGAACGCTGAGATATCACAGTGTACAAGCCAGTTTACTCCTCCACAGTTAGAAGTATGCAGAGTTTGGATAGAAATGGTGAGAGAGCTTTCCGGCTGCCTGGGCCAGTGTGTGAATGGACAGGCTGATTTATCTTGACCTTTGCTTTCTGCCCTTAGGGATGCGAACCCACGGATCGGGGACATCCTGCAGAAGTTAGCTCCCTTCCTGAAAATGTATGGTGAGTATGTGAAGAACTTTGACACGGCCATGGAGCTGGTGAACACCTGGATGGAGCGATCCTCGCAGTTTAAAGCCATCGTCCACGACATTCAGGTACGGACAGGCCACCATGTTGTTTCAAGTTTTGGAATGCATATGTGAGACTTTAAACATGAATCTGCTGTCACCATTGCTCAGTTCTGTTGTTGTCTTTATTTTGATATGTTGATAACATGATCTAACAAAGTTGAAAATTATAGATTTTGTTTGTGTCACACAACATAATTTTGAGCAAGCAAACAAATGATTAAGAATACAGTTGTATGAAACAGTTTGGGCACCCCTGGTCAAATTGCCTGTGCAAAAGTTATGGCACTCTCCTTAAATTTAAGCAATAGAACACGAGAGGAAGAGTGTTATCGCAAAATAACATCACGGCTGTGATTCGGTCGCTGTAGGTCATGTTATTTGCGATAACACACAACCTTGAGTGTTCTATTGCTTTTATACAACACTTAAATAAATAAAGTAAGAAGTAAATAAATTGGGCCGTGAACGCGGCATTTAAGATGTTTTAAATAAATTGGGCCGTGAACGCAGCATTTAGTATGTTTTAATGTTCGCAGTTCCTTCCGCCAAATTATAGTTCCTTAACAAGCAGCTGGTTGCCACGTCAGAGTAATGAACTCCGCTCACTCGCTGCACAGCCAGCAGTTTGTTCTCCAGCTCCTTGTTTTGTTCCAGCCAGGCTGTAAAGCATCTTACAGCCCATTTTCTTTGGCGAATGGTATTCGGTTCATTTCTGGCTAATTCCAGGTTGTTTAGCTGTTCTTCTGTCACAGCTGCCGACTGAAAAGCTGCTCATTGGTGATGACACTTTGGGAATTTAGTGTCGTCTCATCTTCAGAGTCTGACCAAATCGGCTGTCGGTCAAATGTGATCTTAAAAGTATCCATTTTCTGGGGCTCCCGAGTGGCGCAATTGTCTAAGTGTTGGCCCTATCATCAGGAGATCGCAAGTTCGATCCCTGGTGATGCTACAGCCATCCGTAGCCGGGAGTCCAAGAGAGCACAATTGGCCTCGCTCTCCTTGGGTGGGTGGGATGGCCCCTCCTTCTCCCCCCATCACTCAGCGCGATGCTAGGCAGCGCAGGCGTCTGTTAGCTGACGTAACAGATCTGGCGGTTGGCGCTTTCCTCCGAGCGCGTTCGGCTGTCCAGTGACGTTGCGTAAGCGACAAGTTCAAAAAGATGCGGTGGCGCTTCACAGGTCTCGGAGGAAGCCTGTGTTAGCCTTCGCCTTCCTAGTGTTGGTAGTATCGTGTGACTAGGGGAGTCCTAACTAACGGGTGGAATTGGAAATGACTAAATTGGGGAGAAAATTGGGTAAAAATCCAAAAAAAATTAATAATTCTGTTTGTGGCAAAGTGAGAAGTAAAAACGTACAAATAGCTTGAGCGTCTCCTACAGCTGTCAAAGTCGCTACTTGGCAGCGGCGTCTCAGCGGAGTGATAGTGTTTGTGAAAAAAACGTGATGTTATGGCAAAGTAACAACACGGTTAGAACGCCTCTCAACCAATCAGCTTGCGTGGCCGGAACTAACTGTTGTATAATATGTTTTATATCTCTAATATGGTGAAACAATAAAAATCGTGCACTAAATTTAACAGGCGATGCCATATTTTGCCATATGTTTGTTCCCTATAGAGGATATCTTATTTTCACTGTAAAAATCAACAAAAGATAATTTCACTGGGGTGTTCAAACATTTGCATACAGCTGTGTATGTCACACTTCACTTGCCTTTTAATGTTGTTTTGACCAAACAAACAATAAGTACTTAGCAGTGTGAGTTGTGTTCTGAATGCTCACACAGTAACTATGCAGTGCATCCCACGATAAAGGCGGCATGGAGCTTCTTTTTACAGTGATAGGAAACACAGTAGCACACAGAAAGCTCTAATTACACATGCTGACCTATTTTACTGTGACCTATGTGGACATACTCACACACCATCTACTCTGGGGGCAGATTTTACTGAGTAAAAGTGGACAAAAATAAGTTTTTGAACGTATCGTGAACAATGCGTTAGGTGATGTAGTTCTTAATGGGGTTCTCCTTCTAAATAATTAGAACCTTAATATCAGCTCCTCCACAGTCAGTGACATTTGTTTGACACACTGTACAGTATAAGCAGATAATTGTAACATATAGAGGTTGTTTTTCATGTTTTCAGCCAAATACTCAACATATCAGTGAGGAGCAGGGCACAGTGTTAGCAGCCCTATTTTATTTTTAAAGCTCATTCATTCCTGTGAATTCCTGTAAACGTTCTTCCTGAGTGGTTTGAGTTCCAGCAGGGGAAACATGCTTTTTTGTGTGTGGGTGGAGAGCAAGGACATGAGTACATGACTCCTGAGCGGTCAGTGAAAGCAAGGCCTTCTGTTAAAGACTCTATTTGGCTAGGATGAGTAAGACTATTACACTTTCCACAGATGTGTGAAAGACGAGGAATCCTTGCCAGCTGTCTTTCGCACAGTTATAACTGGTGTTAATTGGATATCACCTTGCTAAATTCACACCCACACACGAAAAAACGTACACTGAAAATACAGTTCTGACAAGAACTGTAAAGATCAGCAGCTACGCACTCAGCATAAGGCTTGTTAGGCTACCTTGCATTAATTAACCCTGTATTTTGATAGAAAAATGTTTTGATTAAAAATAATGAATGCACCAACATCTCTGATCACCAAGTGCATTGGATGAAAGAGAGTGAATCATTTTAGAAGCTGTGTTGAAGGTTATGTTGAGCAGTTAGTACAAATAGAAGCAGATGCCCTCATGTGAGAAAAACAGTAATAAATAGCTTTGTGTATTTAATGCTTTATATGCATTTAAAATGTAGCTTAGACTGCAGTATAAGCATGATCAAGAGAAAGAAATTATGAGAAAGAATGAGTTGGGATTGTGAAAAGAATAAACAGGTATAACAAGGCAGCCAAAGTGAAACCTTGTAGTTAAAACAGGGAAAGTAAAGAAAAAAAGAAAGTAAAAAAAATAGAGGTATATTTTCTTATTGCTTAAGAAGTAAAGGCTAATGATTTCCCAAAGGATCAAACTATTCCCAAAGCTCCTTTCTACAGCTTATAAATAAAGCTGTCTGGTGAATATCTAATCTAAAGGGACTTAATTCTTCAAGAGATCAAGGTTTTATCAGTTTAAAGAAAGATTCATCCACTGGGCTTTGGCCATGTAGGGTTTTACATTTAAGTGTGTTAAATTTATGATGTTTATTATAAATTGATAAATGTTGCTGTCGATAATGCATGTGCTTTCTTTCATCTTTTTAACAGCATCTGTGTGCATACGTTCTTACATGTCTGACTCATGGCTTTGGTTTTCTGCTGCTGGCTGTATGTATGTGTGGCAGAAAGAGGAGATGTGTGGTAACCTCACCCTGCAGCACCACATGTTGGAGCCCGTGCAGCGGATCCCTCGGTACGAGCTGCTGCTGAAGGACTACTTGCACCGACTGCCTGAGGACGCAGATGACTTTAAAGATGCGCAGAGTGAGTGTGTGAGAATGTAACATTAAGGCTTCACTTAAAGGGGAACTCAACTGATTTTGAAGTTTATGCAGTATACACCGATCAAGCATAACATTATAACCACCTCCTTGTTTCTACGCTCATTGTCCATTTTATCAGCTCCACTTACTACATAGGTGCACTTTGTAGTTCTACAGTTACAGACTGTCCATCTGTTTCTCTGCATACTTTGTTAGCCCCCTTTTACCCTGTTCTTCAGTGGTCAGGACCCCCATGGACCCTCACAGAGCAGGTACTATTTGGGTGGTGGATCATTCTCAGCACTGCAGTAACACTAATGTGGTGGTGGTGTGTTAGTGTGTGTTGTGCTGGTCTGAGTGGATCAGACACAGCAGTGCTGCTGAAGTTTTTAAACACCTCAGAGTCACTGCTGGACTGAGAATAGTCCACCAACCAAAAATATCCAGCCAACAGCGTCTTGTGGGCAGCATCCTGTGACCACTGATGAAGGACTAGAGGATGACCAACACAAACTGTGCAGCAGCAGATGAGCTATCGTCTCTGACTTTACATCTACAAGGTGGACTGACAAGGTAGGAGTGTCTAATAGAGTGGACAATGAGTGGACACAGTGTTTAGAAACTCCAGCAGCACTGCTGTGCCTGATCCACACACTAACACACCACCACCACCACATCAGTGTCACTGCAGTGCTGAGAATGATCCACCACCCAAATAGTACCTGCTCTGTGAGGGTCCATGGGGGTCCTGAGTACTGAAGAACAGGGTAAAAGGGGGCTAACAAAGTCTGCAGAGAAACAGATGGACTACAGTCTGTAATTGTAGAGCTACAAAGTGCACCTATATAGTAAGTGGAGCTGATAAAATGGACAATGAGCGTAGAAATAAGGAGGTGGTCATAATGTTATGCCTGATTGGTGTATACTGATTAATTAAAATGTAAGCAAAGTCATTCAGAGAGGTCTGATTTGAAATGCTTCATTCTCAAGAAACCAAGAGTCAGAATTGTTCAGGGTGATGGAATTTTAGAGCCTCTAAAACTCTGAAAGACAGAATTACAGAGAGGTTTTGAAAGATTCCCCTAATGTCAGCAGACCACTGTGTATATTTAATGCTGCCTAATTGAGCTTCTGTTCAGTAGGTAGTGCTCTGGCTCTGACACCTTATGCATTGTTCCAAAGTCCTTCTTTCTTGAAAAGGGACAAAAGGCCTAGTAACTGCTAGTGATGAACAAGTGTCCTGTTCCTTAATTCTTCTTATAAATTGCCCAGTTTTTAAAGAATGACGCATCTAAAATGGAGAATACTGATCTAAATACCTCTGATCTAATAATGTAAAGATCTAAGAGAAGGCTTTTTTCTTAATTAGTCAGATTTATGCCCACCTAAATATGATTCATACATTAATGTGGTGATACTTCCAGTTGTTGTGCTGTATGCTGTAGCATTTCCTTCATTAACAATAGAAATTTGTTATTTCTGTCCATCAGAATCTTTGGAGCTGATTGCAACGGCGGCTGAGCATTCCAATGCAGCCATCAGGAAAATGGTGAGTGAATTTTCTCATGAGAACCCCACACAGATGCAGCTGCCGAAGGCCGTGTCTGAGCTAGACTCTGAACTGATGGAGGTCTGTGTGTGTTGAGCACCCTCCTGTTGCACTCTGCACTGCACCCAGCCCAGACGAACTCCCCTCAACATTTGTGAAAAGAGCCCACACCGCCACTTAGCTGCACCGCTTTGTAATTAGAGACGGTCGCCTTTTTCATGTGCAGGAGCTGTCCAAAGTCTGTCATTTAGAACTGCTAATTGCCAGTGTTTTTGCTTTCACGGTCTCTGCTCTGTGAGAGAAAAGCTTAGCCAAGTGTAATTGACCCAAACAGGCAGTGTCAAGTGTGAACCACTGATTAGACAAACGTGTCTCCTCTTGAATTTTTCTTTTTGATGATTTTAATTTGCTTTTTGGTGGAAAAGTGAATGATTTTCCCCCTATCTGTCATTATCATACTGCATGACACAAGCCTATGTTCATGTGTGATTCTATGTGTGTGTGTGTGTGTGTGTGTGTGTGTGTGTGTGTGTGTGTGTGTGTGTGTGCCAGGAGCGAATGAGAAAGTTGTTGAAGGTGTATGAACTGCTCGGGGGAGAAGAGGACATTGTTAACCCGACTAACGAGCTCATTAAGGAGGGACACATCCTCAAACTGTCAGCCAAGAACGGAACTTCACAGGACAGATACCTCATACTGGTGAGGGGCTTGTTTGTGTCTGACAGATTTTTAGAATATTAAAGGTGTAAATATCTGACCTCAAAGCAATTTGACTCAGTTCCAATTCTTAGGAATGTATGTCATGAAAATCGATTTGATTATCATACTTTGATTCTGAATTATTTTTTTTAATAGACTGAACATTCAAGTGTGACAGGAGGAGCGTTTTACCTAGTAGTGAAATGTAAATAATAAAAAATCTTAATTTTTTCTTTGTCCTTTTAAAAACTGAGGCTACATTTTTTTTGTCCTTTTAAAAACTGAGGCTACAGGTGGCTTGATGTGCTAGCAGGCCAATTTAGCACCTGGACTCTTACTACTGAGCAATGTGTAGTATGTAGTAACTTGGCAATATGTGCAGAATATGGTTTGGCAGTGTCTTGCTGAAATAAGTTTTGTCTCAAAACCTATATGTATTGGTCAGCATTAATGGTGCGTTCACTTGTGCAAGTTAGTCATGCCTTGTGCACTAATGCACCCCTATACCATCATGGATGTTGCACTGATAACAAGCGGGGTCCTTCTCCTCTTTAGCTCGGAGGACACAGTGTCCATGATTCCCAAAAAGAGTTTCAAATTTTGGTTTGTTGAACCACAGAAAACTTTTCCACTTCGCCACAGTCCATCTTAAATGAGTTCAGGCCCAGAGAAGGTGGTGGCGTTTCTGAATCATGTTTATGTATGGTTTCTTCTTTGCATGGTAGAGTTTTAACTTGCATTTGTGGATGCAGTGAAGAACTGTGTTCATAGACAGTGGTGTTCAGAAGTGCTCCTGAGATAGTGCTGGGCGATATGACCTCAAATCAATTTCACGATTAATTGAATATTGCAACTCGATTACGATTAATGAACGATTATTTTGTTATTGGCTTTTTTTGTTTTGTTTTTTTGCCCTCATAGTTCACTGAAAAGGTTTGTACTGTAAATATGTTCTGCATATCTTAATGTAAATTGTCCCAATAGACTGATCAGAATTCACGCGACTTTTACATCAATCCAACTCGTCATAATTTCGCGCTGCTGAGACCTCATAAACATTTGCGGTGATATGTCTGTACAAAAATTAGAAGAGACTTATCCAAAACACCTCAGTGTTTGAAGAGATTTCGAAAGAAATGGGCCATGTGAGCCATGTGCAGCAACGTGACGCTTATGTTCTTTTGCGCATGCAGGTCAGTTTAGTAGCTGATCTGTTCAGACTGATGTCGCATACAGATCGCTTTTAAAAGATATTGTGAACAGCCAAACAAAAAAATCAGATTTGATGAGAAAATCAGATTTGGGCCACTTTTACCTGCTGTGTGAACATAGCCTTAGCTCCATGTTGCAGACTAGACATGGCGGAGTCACGTGACTACATACATGGTAGTACGTTTGAAGGGGACAGTACGTGAAGACAGAGTGGGGAAAGGATTAACAGAATTTTTAAAAAATCAAAATAACCGACATGGGTAAGATTCCGTCGTTTGGAGGTTTCTGAATGTCTATTTCGATTACTTTTCGATTAATTGCCTAGCCCTATCCTGAGCCCATACAGTGATTTCCACTACAGAATTGTGGCTAATTTTTAATGCAGTGCCGCCTGAGGGCCCAAAAATCATGACCAACCAATACTGGATTTCGGCCTTGTCCCTTGCATACAGAGATTTTTCCGGATTCTCTGAATCTTTTACCGATTTTATGTACCATAGATGATTAAATCCCCCAGTTCTTTGCTATTTTATGTTGAGAAATATTATTTATGAATTGTTGCAGTATTTGCCTTTGCAGTCCTCCACAGAGTGGTGAACCCCTCCCCATCTTTCCTTCTGAAAGACTCAGCCTCTCTGGGATGCTCTTTTTTATATCCAGTCATGTTACTCACCTGTTTTATATCCAGTCATGTTACTCACCTTAAAAACTCATTGGCTATTGTTATACCTTTAAGGATGCATTTACATTGTTTATACCTTATTGAGCAAAAATGTACCCATATAGTGCTTTTTTCTGGCAGTGTATATGTATAGTTTTATGTCTGACTCCTCTTCATATCTCTCTGCAGTTCAATGACAGGTTACTGTACTGTGTCCCCAAGCTGAGACTGATTGGACAGAAATTTGGAGTGCGGGCGAGAATTGATGTAGACGGCATGGAGGTCTGTCATCAGATCATTTTTCACAGTACCTTTCTATAACACAAATAGCTTGAAAGCTCTTTCCCAGTAAATTCATAAGTCACTTATGTTGTTTGATGTCACTGCTGAGAAGCACTAACTTGTCTGTTTGTTTTACAGCTGAAAGAGACGAGTAGTATAAACGTTCCACGGACCTTTCTAGTGTCAGGAAAACAGCGCTCTCTTGAACTGCAGGCCAGGTGAGTTTAATAGATGAACACGCTCTCAGTTTTAAGACATCACGTCTAGGACAGAAAAATACACTGTTTGTCTATCGTTATCTTGATAGTGGCCTTCTCAGTATTGATTGTGGAGGACTGCAGTGATGATGAGGCCTACATAACATTTCATCACAATTTCTTTTCTCAAAGAACGCAGAACAGCTGAGTGTATCGTCAAGTTTAACTGTATTTAGTGCAGTGTGAGAAATGGTGAATAAAAATGATATTCATAGTTTTTGATAGAATTTTTTTTAATGTGCTGCTACTCGTTCTGTTCTATATGTCCCAGATCAAACTTCAGAACTAAATATGGTCATACATTAAGTGTATCATCAATTTGTCTTTAAGTGTCCTGATATATTTTTGCCATATCGCCCCACCTTTCTAGACCCATACACAGATATGTCATGTAGCATTGCATAGTATCACAGCATATACCGTACAATGTGCTGCTGTACTACATAGAATGTGTTGCAGTGAGAGCACTGATAAACATCAAATTCTGGTTGATTTTTACCCTATGCTCATATAAATGTAATGAAATAAAACTTCCAGCATAATTCATCGTGTTTTGTATTAGTTTATTACCTCTAAACTCTGTGGAAAACATGGAAAAAAGACTAGATTAGTAATATTAGCTGAGGTAACATTAGCATTTATCTGACTGACTGCCTGCCTGCCCTTCTCTGTGTAAATTTCAGGCCACGTGCTATCTACTAAGCCTTTTTTTGTGGTCTTGATATGGCTTTAATTTTACACCATTAAAGTGGCACGCTGGGCTGCACAGAGAAATTGAACAGTGCTAGGAGTCACTGATGAATATCAGTGCTGGTATGCGATGGCCTTCAGACCAGTCTTGTTTTTTCACTGTGTATTTTTTTACTGCATCTTGACCAATCGCAAATGTACGACGGCGTTTTAGGGCCACTGTTAATAAAAATAAAAACAGTAGACTTTGAGAAAAAAGTCATAATATTTCATGAAGAAGGTCGTACTATTTCGAGAACAAAGTTGCAATGTTTCAAGAAAAAAAAAACGTAATATTTGGAGGATAAAGTGTTCTAATTGTAGAGGGGCTGCCATAACGCGTTGGGGTCTCGGTTGCTGTACTGGCACCGGAGTTCCACTCACTCCTGTCTCTTTGTGGATCGATCATTTTGATTATCATTCTCACTGTCTGTGAAACTTCATGTCCTCTTTGCCGTTTCTTATACTAATAACAGGCTGGTGCTGATGTGCCAGGAGAGACAGGGAGACTTTCAGGGAGTATTTCTTTATGGGTGAAGTGGACCACAAACTCCTCAACGTCCCTCATTTTAACACGAGGAGCTGCTGCCTTTACTTTATAAAGCAAAAAAGACTTTTTTTCCCAAAATATTACGATTTTTTTCTCGAAATATTGCGACTTATGAATAATTCTCGAAATATCATACTGTATTACTTTCTTCTTGAAATATTATGACTTTATTCTCGAAGCTCTTTTTATTTTTATTAACAGTGGCCCTAAAACTGATGAATATCCCTGTTGGTCTTTAATGAATAAAGGTGTTCATACATGATTTTGGTCAAAATAATGAAGCTAAATCTTTACCAATGTCACATTATTGATTTAAAAGTGCATTTTTTGCAATTGTAATATGTAGAAATTCCAGTACTTATATTTTTGTCCATATTGTGAAGCCTTAATAGTTCCAAAAAATCCAAACATGGCTAACAGTGAATGAAACCAGAAACGTCACATTTAGGTAAATGTTGTGTTCACTATTCACTTGGGGTGCAGGAAAAAATCGATTCTTAGATGTATCGCGATGCAGACATGAACGATTCTGAATCGATTCACAAACGTCAAAAATCGATTTTCTAAATATTTAATTTATAATGTAATGTTGACGGAACGCAAAAGGCGGAACTTGGAAGTGGGTAAGTGCAGCGCCCGGACAGTCTGTGGCAGCACTTAAAGACACTACAGGTCGAGTGAGAAATCCGACAGGCTCCCTCTGCATTAAAGCCAGGTTAGATCAGGAGTCACAACACAGATGTTAAGAAGAGCCGTTTTGTCCTTTCAACAAAAATCAAACCGTCTTGGGAGCCGCAACATTTAATGTCCAGTATGTGTCAGTGTGTGCTGATGTCCTAGTATAGACTGAACAATATAAACGAAAACACAGACTTGCTCTGCTCTGCCTTAAGCTTCGCCTATACCCGCTCTCCTCTCCGCCAGAAAACTTTCCCTCAAAAGTTGAAGAGTTTCTTGTAAAATGTCTCTCAGCTTTCGCTGTTTTACGAGGCTGAAGTCGCTTCTCACTCGCCAGCTTCTTGCTGAACTTTTCCGGTTCCACCTTAAATTCTGACTGAGATGCCGAATGTAATTGCAGCACCATTTGAGGTGGAACAGGAAAATTAGAAAGAGAAGCGACTTCATCTTCGCAACTTTTTAGTGTTTGACAGTCTCTCGTTGCAGATTTAACGGACCAGGAAACCAACTGCGCTGCTTAAAAATGCGAATAAGTCCGTTCATCTCCAAAAGTTCGTCTGTCTTTCTCTTTTCCTTTTTGTTCGCTAATAGCCAGGCGAAACCTCGTTGCTACGTGACCTGCAGTCTTTCGCGCCCACAGCCCGCCCCCCCATCACGAGACCAAAACCAAAGTTATAAAATCACTAAAGAATATATAATGCGCTGCGTGGTCATCCATTATCCCAGGATCTTATTTCACCGTAACGGCGCATTTTATCACAGATGAGTGGCAGCAGCGTCTCATGTGCTCCAAACCAGAGCAGTGAATGAGAGCCTTCCAGTTCACTTGCCACTTCACTTCCATTTGATTTATTAATAAAAGATATTGGACGTAAATGCATTATGGATCATTGCAAATACTTTGTTTTAAAACTACCAAGTCCTCAGACAGTAAGAAAACAGAGATCATGTGTAGAGAAAAAAGATGCATCGAGCTGCATCGATAATCGTTTTATAATCGAATCGCAGCCCTCTGAATCGTAATCAAATCGAATCGTGAGGTGCCTAAAGATTCCCACCCCTACTATTCACTATTAACATTTCAGAGTAAACTGTTTCTTTAAAGAGGTGCAGATTGTTTGCATGAAAGACAAACAGGATGATTGCTGTTGTTCATGTAAGGTAAGGTGTTGTTAAGGTAAAACCCTGCTAATGGCACCATCAGAGCGTTACTTATGATATTGGCAAGGACCAAAAATATAATCATAGTATAATCATAGACTTCTTGTGCAGGAAAAAGGAGTGTTCCAGACAAAGAGCTTATCAGCTCAAATATAATTACCAAATTAAATATAATTATGGAAACAACTTTTCTTTTTTGCTGTTAGGACTGAAGAAGAAAAGAAAGACTGGATTCAGGTGAGTTGTTCTCCCACAGTGTCTGTCTCTTTTTTCCACATATCCCTCCTTATGTTGTCACTCTCCTCTGATCTGCCCGATAGCCTATTCCCCCTCTCTTCCCACACTCTATTTGCATGATATCCTGTTTTTATTTCCCTTTTTCATGCTTTCTCTCTCTCTTTCTGTAGGCGATCCAGGCCACTATTCAGAGACACGAGCAGAGTGTTGAGACGTTCCGGGTGTTGAACTGCTCAGTGCGGGAGGAGGACTGCACTCCCCCCAATTCCCCGGTTAGAGCCTTTCTTCTACTCTGCATCTGTTTGCTGTGTTGGTGTTGTTCTGTGCTGCATGTTTATTTGACTGCTTGTTCTCTTGTTGCCTCAGAACTGCACAGAACTGGGAAAGCGTGCCCCGACTCCTATCCGGGAAAAAGAGGTGACGCTGTGTATGAAGTGCCAGGAGCCATTCAACTCCATCACTAAGAGACGCCACCACTGCAAAGCGTGTGGACACGTACGTCTAACCATAAACACATGCCTAAACACACCCATTAATTACCAAATTAAGTATATGAACCCCACATTCTTCAGCAGACATCAGCAAGTCCAAACATCAGTTAGGATGATTCACACCTATTTATGATTATTTGGAAGTCTTTAGGAAGTTCTTCCCCATTCACTACACTTAATTTGGCATGTCACTTCTTTTTTCTGAAGGTTCTGATTCAGACAGCCAACATCAGAGTGTTGCGTGCCAAAGGCTGTAGAAACACATAATGCAGTTTCAGTACCCTGCAGTGAGTCTGCATGTTCCAGCAGGAGAAGGCTAACATGAACCATTTTGTTTCCAGGTGGTGTGTGGGAAGTGCTCAGAGTTCCGCGCCCGGTTGTTGTATGATAACAATCGGGCAAACCGCGTGTGTATAGACTGCTACACCACATTGGTGGGAGTCCCGCCCTCTCCAGCCAGTCTGACAAATAGCGCTCAAAGAAGACGCTCAATTCTAGAGGTAAGACACTAAGACACAAATGCTGGGTTCACACTGAAGAATCAAATCAAATTTGAGTCCCCTTTGTAGCTCTTAGGGGGACTATTATATAGAAAAACTATATTTCCCTCACTTTATTGAAATGAAAGATTTAACTTAAAGTTTCAAATGCACTGTTCACTCCTCAGTCCACATGACTTTAAAAGAAACGGCCGTTTTGAAAAACCAACACATTTGCGTATATTCACCTATTACACAAACAGCAGTTTAGACAATCAGGGTTGGATTTTACAATAGCAGTACACTTGCCTTTGTCTAGGGTTGCCTCACTTAACTAGCTAGCTAAGCAAACTTTGTAACGCTCACTTTTGTGTGGCAAAGGGAGAAATAAGGCCTTCTGAAGCATTGAACCTATTGAACCAATCGCTTTTCGGGGCCAGTTCACTCTGGGGTCCTGGTGGCCAACCATCAAAAATTCAAAAAATTTTAGAACCATGCTGAAAACAGTAAAATGGGACTTCAAAGTGTCCTCAGATCCCGTTTCAAATACACACATCACTATTCTTCTCAGAATTCATATCACAACATATGTAAACTTTGTGAATAATTGCTTTGTCTGGCTTAAGGTTCAGGTTTAGAATGAGAGAGTAAATCCTGCTGCTGAAGTCTACATTTGTGTTGACTCGATCTCGCATCTTACAAACTGTAGTTCCAACACAATAATGGAGCGGAGTTTGTCCTTTTGGAAAAAGGTCATTGCTTTAGCCTGATCTTTGAACCTTGTGTCCTGTAGAAACAGGCTTCTGTTGCGGCGGAGAACAGCGTGCTCTGCAGCTTCCTGCACCACATGGAGAAGGGCAGCGGGCGTGGCTGGCAGAAGGCTTGGTTCGTCATCCCTGAAAATGAACCACTGGTGCTTTACATATATGGTGCTCCACAGGTGGGAAATCAGCTCATCTGTTAATAATAAGCCGGGTGCACATTATAAGACTTAAAATTCTAACAGCTTTCAGAAACAGAGAGCATAAACGTAACATCAGTTTGTTACAAAATTTCATATTTTATTGCGAGGCCAGACTACACAGTAGGCAGATAGATGAATAAGGAGTTTTGGCAACAAAAAAAGCTCTCACAAGCCCAAACCTCTCTCGTTATCACGTGATACAAACAAAGCTAAGCTGAACCGGACCTGTTTGTGCTTTTTTATGTACATCCTAGTAACTAATGATGAATATGCGGTTGAGAGACAGATGTCTGTTCTACAGTGACAGCTGGAGAAACATTTTATTGCAAATTGAAAGCTTTCTTGAAATTGTAAAGAGACTGCCTTGATGTTTGAATTCATACACTATAAACAGTTTAGAGGCTCTAATTTGCCTGTGTTCAACAAGCAGCACCTCTATTTCTGCAGTCTGTTGCGTATGTGATGTGCATATACATCTCTCTCTCTCTCTCTCTCTCTCTCTCTCTCTCTCTCTCACTGTTGCTTGAATCACTACCTTTATCAGTGACCATCTCGCACTAGAGCACTCGTGAACGTTTTGAGTAAAAGTCAAACGTCTGAAAATATCGGAAAGCCTCCAGTCACTTCAGAGCTTGATTGCAAGACAAAAGGTTAACTCGTTTCTCTCTCACACCACCAGAGCATCCACACTGAACATCTGACTGAGCTTGCAACCTGGAAAATCACTATTTATTGTGATAATTTGGCATAAAGGACAAAATCGTGGTTTAAAATCGGGCTAAAGATCATGTAGTGTACGCCTGGCTAAGGATGAATAAAATAATGTGGTCCCTGGTGACCCCCCTGTCCTACACAGTTTCATATTTTGCCTGATCTTATTCTTTGGCTATGAACAGGATGTAAAAGCCCAGCGCAGCATCCCCCTCATTGGCTTTGAAGTCTCCCTACCCGAGTCATGTGACCGTCTGGAGCGTCGCTATGCCTTCAAAATGAGCCAGAGTCACCTGACGGTTTACTTCAGTGCAGATGGGGAGGAGCTTCAGCGGCGCTGGATGGAGGTCCTCTCAAGAGCTGGAAGAGGGGAGGAGATACAAGCTCATGGTCCAATCTCTGAGGCCCTGGAGGAAGAAGGGGAGGAGCCAACCTCTCTAGGAGAAAGCACATGATTGGTTGATAAATATATCTCTTTTTTTGCACACATGAACTGTACAAATGTGACCACAAGGACAATATCTGGCATACAAACACAGACACACACGAGTACACACAGACACACACACACACCACAGACATACACACACCTTCGCTTTTACACACATCTGTTCTAATTGTCGGTTGTAAGTTGCATGAAATATCTACAGGTACGTTTGTCCGTGTATTGCTCATCTTCTTTGAGTGACAGGTGTTTGCGAAACCTGCCAATGTGTGCTCACCTACACATGGCGCGTCTGAGGACACGTCAAAGATAGTCGCCATGCTTTAATATCACCTTTCCTCCGCAGCTAGCGATTTCTATGTTAGATAGAGCCACTCTTTCTGCCAAACATTGCTGTGTTGTTTTTTTAAACGAGTGATTTCTTGCTGGACTTTTCAGTGCTTGTAAACTCATCCGTGTCGTTCTGGGAGAAGGCCTGCAGATTTCTCAGCGTGATTAGGCAACTTGGCACTAAGCTCCACTATCAAGTTCAGTATAGGAAAGTCAAAGGTGCGAAGGGCAGGTTCTGCGTAGGTTTACTGTTAAGATGTACAGCAAACAGATGGCACAGATTAGTCATCCCCAACTTAGATAAACTGAAAGAATGGTCACGATTTTTCAGATTTATGTACTAAGACTAGTACACAATCATTTATGGAATACAGCTGTTTTTATGGCCATAATTTCCTATTAAATGATTAAATTTAAGAGCTTGCAAGTTCTAAAAAATGAACACATTGTAGCGTTGTAGAAAAGACAGTTTTGCCAGTCATCAAGTTTTTGGCTGTTGAGGGATTCCTGAAGTTGATCTTTTATGCTGATCTTTGGATCAGTTTCTCTTCAGCATATACTAAACCATAAAATCAGATCTCAGGAGTGAGGCAGCAGTGTGGAGCATCAGATCAGCTCCCTTCTGCCACCCTGTGGAGTTTTACTGCATTGCATTGTGATGCTGTTAAAATTCCTTATTTGGCTTAATACTGTTTAAAAAGAAGATTGTGTGCTAAAATGTGGGTCTAAGAAAACACATTGGTAGAATAACATGGCTGTAGAGCACAGCATGTGTGAGCGAGTCCCCTGCTGCTCCAGAGAAAAAGAGTGACTGATTTTGTGCTAGTAGATTATATGCGGGGGACAAGACTGTAGATACAGGGAGACTTTATAGAGTGAGAGAGAGCGAGAGGTATGTGTGTATTGGGCTAGTTTTTATCATTATGACATCAGTGATATCTGCCTTATCCAGAAGGGTTTTTTGATAAGAAAATTAAGAGTATATATAAATAAGAAAAAAAAACATGGTAAAGGTTTTGATGACGATACTAAGCGTTTTAAGCAGTGTTGTATTTGTGTATGAAAAGTGCTAAAAGGGTAAAAGACAATTGCGTTTGTAAATATAATTTATTCCTCTGGACCCAGTTTTGTGGGTTGGGTATTATTGACGAACTCGGTGTTCCCTTTGTCATGTGCCGTATAGATGGACATCAGAGCATCCTGTGGAGAGAATCTGAAGCTAAACTTCTCTTTTTTACCACTTTTATGAGTCAAAAAGTCCGTATTCAGTGTTTTAGAAAAGAATTTTTCTTTTTCTTCAATAAGTCTGATTACAGAAATGGGTTTACCAGTGTGATGGCCGAGTCACTCATGCTGATCTGCTATTTGTGTTGGGTATTGTTTTTGATATTGCTCTCTGTTGTTAAAAACACTTGCTTGATTAAAAGTGAAACCGGACCGGTCAGTTGTATTTTAAAGTCTGTGGCCTCCCACCATCCTGTTTGTCTCTCGGCGGAGTGCCCGAAAAAAATAAATAAATAAAAAAGATGTCAAAAATGAGCTACATGAGTAGAATAGGGCTGAAAGGCTTAATCACCGTGGAGAGATAGTAATCATTTGAGGAAAAGTGTGTACCTTCATGGCTGTGAATGTATGTATGTGTGAGTGTATGCGTGCGTTCATGGGTCATATTGATCATTGTCCAGCCTTCAGTTGAGCCTGCCACTCGTTCGCTCATGCAGACCCTCCCCCCTCCATCACCACACCAACAGAAAGCATATTTGTGTTTACCTGCTGTAGGTTTTCTCTCCATTATGCATCTTTGTGTCATGCCTTACATATCTACATTTCTGCATTTGACTCTTTTTTTCTCTGCTTTTTTGCCAAAGTATACTGCAGGAAAATATGTATTATTGTGTGTGTTGTGTTTATCTGTGTTATGTTTTTTTTATTACACATATTTATTGTTTTTTCTAATGTTTTTTTTTTTACTTCATGAGGTTTCTTGCCTATAGTTCTTGCTTCTAGAACTATCTGATAGCTAATAAGAAATTTGTGCAGTACAGATCCTAATACAGAGCAACAAATACTAAATACAGAATTTCTCACATCATGAAGGATGTATGGACAGTAACAAGCAACATCACAAAATCCTGCATATCCTGTAGTCCTACAGATTTGTTTGAATTGGTGCATGAATTCTTGTATTAATCAGAAATCCACCGTTATTACAGTATACGGTACTATACAAAAGTCAGAGACCACCCTTCATTTATTTTATTTCCAGTCAAAACAACTATTAAATACTTTCAGTACATTAAGTTTTTCATTTTCAGTGACAGGAAAAAATAAGAAATTTACAATGGCGTTTTAGGGCCACTGTTAATAAAAATAAAAATAGTAGACTTTGAGCATAAAGTCGTAATATTTCTCCACCATCTCCACCAACTCCTCAACGCCCCTCATTTAACACGAGGAGGTCCTGCCCTCCCTTTGCAAAGCCTTTGGCCACAATATTGCGACCTTTTCTACGACTTTTTTTTTCTTGAAGTAGTACGACTTTTTTCTCGAAATAAATTTTTTTAGTATTTAGTGTGGTCATTTACATTTATTATGGCTTCTGTTCTTTCTAGAACACTTGCTTTCAGTTTTTCAGAGAAATCTGCAGGGGTCCACACCTCTAAAGTTCAGTCTTAGAAGTTGGTTGCATTTTCTGCTTCTCACAATCCAAGTGAACCATCAGCTTGTTTGTTTGCACATTGTACTTTTATGTATTCGACATTTTCTCAGCAACAGCTTCTTGCCAGCCACACATTTGTGGATTTTTTTCAGCAAGAGTGGAGCTTGAGCTTTAACTGATTAGTGAGTTCCATTTTCTTGAACGTTTAATCTTTTTTTTCACTCCAGTGTTGGGAACTCCTATTTTTTCACATATTTTTCCTTTGAGTTTCCCTTCCTTATGCAAGTGGATTGTCTTGTATCTAATCTCCTCAGAAATACCTCCTGGAAATGAATATCTTAAGTGATAAATTGAGTAGTTTCTAACTGTTTTGACTGGTAGTTAAAGAAATGAAAGGTAGTCTGTGACTTTTGCACAGTGCTGTACATTCCTATTCCGTAAGTGTCTCTTCTAAGCTTTGCTGGTATCATTTAACACTAAACCATCATGTGAGGTGTCAGGATACAAGATTAAATTTTATAGCATGCTCTGGGGGATGCAAATGAATTCAGCGGAGCTTGTTTTTTGACAGGCGTCTCGGTATAATCGCACCGTTTGCATATTCTACCAGAAAGCTGCTCAAAGATCCATAATTTCAGTGCTTTCAAACAAGCGTTCTTGCCCAGGAGGTGCCAGTTTGTTGCAGGATCACTCGGGCAGCTTTGCTGAGCAAGTGTTCATAAATAACCCATTGTTATGATGGGACCAGACCAGCCTTCTTGCATAATAATCCCTTACCTGACTAAATAGGTACTGTAGGCACAGCTGGATAACTGACATGGCCATATCCTTTTAGTTTTATTCCATCCTGTAGGGTTATCTGGCAACATCTGTGCAGATGTTATTTCCGCATAATTTAAGAAAAGCTTTGCATTTCTCTTTGTATCTGTTTATTTCAGGTAGTTTCAACATCACAGTCATTTTGCATTCCACCCTGTACTATTTCTGAGCCAATCGTTCATCAGCCAAGTGTATTTCTGATTTTGATTTGTTCAGATGGATTGATTTCTGAGGTCTGGCCTGTTGTAATAGGAATGTTAAGCTTGACTGAGGTTATGTCAGTGTATTGAGGTTGAGCACATACAGGTCAGTTGTTTGCTGCTCACCATAAATGTTAATCTTTATATGTGATAACAGCTGAAAACCTCATTGAGGTCATGTTCGCTTTCTGACATCATCGCAGCTGAGACTGTGTGTGGGCCATTTTTATCCTACTGGAGTCATGGCTGCCTCAAAGAAACCATGTAAAGTTGCCAGATAGTCCCACCAGAGGTGTTTAAAGCTAAAACGATATAACTATGTTTACCTGGTTTGACAACACAAACATGTTTGCATTACGCAAATGAGCCCATGACCTATTTGCCTCGCTAAACCGTGCGACACACTATGTGGCATCAGTTTTTGTTGTTTTTCCTCTCTCGTGGAATCTGTATAGATTTGCTGTACACATGATGAGTATTACTGTTATTACAAGTACTATTCTAATTATTATCGTTAATTATATTAGTGGCAGGCCACTGGGTACCATTGTATGTTGACAACCCAATGAAATCTGTGCAAGATCATGAAAATGTTTATGAATTAAAGTAATACAAAAAAGATTTGAGTGTCAGAATTCACTTCAGATTCAACAAAACTGTGTTTTATCAGTTACTGTCATTACATGTTCCATAAACCAAAAGGGCGCATAAGATTTTGTATAAGGATAAGCTGCACTTAATTACGTTAAAAATTAACTTTTTCTTCCTACATAAAGACAAATACAACTCATGCCCTAGTTAATAAAGAACTAGGCCTTAAGTGTTTACTGTACATGCTTCTCATTCCCTTGGTTAGCTGTTTCCAGATGTAATGAGGGTCTGTCACAGTGGTCATTGTTCTTCTGGAGATACACAGACAAGAGATAAAGAAAAAAACGTATAAAAGAGGAAATCGATTTTTTTCTGCATAACCCAATTATTAAGATGTAAACAGAGTCATAAAAGTGGTTTTATTTGAAACAGTATGTTGTAGAGAAACGTACCAACTCACAGTGGTGGTGACAGGAATATAGGTCATGATATCTACAACACAAATAGCCATTTTATTTACTATCCAAAACCACCAATCAACCAAGTTTTTGTATGTAATGTTGAAAATGCAGGTCCTTTGGGTACCTGCATGTTCGTGACTACAATAAATGAATTAAAAACAAAATTCTTTAGGCCACAGTCTTATCTCCTCACTATGATACGACAGTGTCTCAGACATCGGGCAGCTTATTCTTAACCATGTCATGTAATAACTTTGAGGGAGCTTTTAGAGGCATTAAACCCCTCAGACATTTGGTTCCTATCACCACTATTTTAAACAATCCTGAGTTCTCCAGATTGGAGCGTTTCATGACCACCGACTCTGAATGAATTTATTTACATGTTAATGATTTAATTATGCATGAATCTTGAAAAATACACAAGTGGAAAAATGCAAGGATTGCAGATGTTTACAGACAGGTGTGCACACCTAAAAAAGATGGTTCTTCAAGGGTTCTTTAGTTAAGAAAATGGTTCTATGTAGAACTATAAACATTCAAAGAACCTTTTGCATGATTGAAGGGTTCTTGGCATTGTGAAAGCGTTCTTCAGATTGATGGAGAATGCGCTGTAGGTGGTTCTATATAAAACATTTTTGAAAAAGGTTCTATATAGCACCAAAAGGGGTTTTCTATTGTTACGATATCCAGCTTGTTACAATAGAAGAACCCTTTTTGGTGCTATATAGAACCCTTTTCAAAAAGGTTCTATCTAAAACCATCCACGACACATTATCCATCAGCCTTTCATGATGCAAAGAACCGTTTAATCATGGCAAGGGTTCTTTGAGTGCTCATGGTTCTATATAGAACCGTTTTCTTTACTAAGGAGCCCTGGAAGAACCGTCTTTTTAAGATGTACTACATGGTACAAATAAGCATGTGGCATGTATAAAAATGCTCATCTTGATTCAATATTGGGCCACAGATGGCAGGAGCTTCAGTCACAATGATGGCTCAACTGACTAGTGTTTACATAGGAAAGGTTACCAGAGTTACATCTGCGTTTATATCTACGTGAAAGACATCAGTAAATAGCTCTGGAAATTGTGGTTGAAAGCACATTTTCGATGACTGTGAAGCTTGTGCGTCAGTACGATATGTAAGGAAAAACAGAAGAGCAACTGTTTCTCAGGTGACTGAGAATGTCCATCAGGATGTGGTCAGACTGTCAGCTAGAACAGGCCCTCCATAACTACATACTATCATACTAGTAGTGGTAAAGCACAGTATACAAAAAGCAGATGCACAATTGAGAGTTCAGTGGTATAAAAACAGTGGACACTGGTCTCCAAAAATATGGAAGAGGGATACGGTCAAGTGAGTCAACCTTCACCATATTCTCGACAAGTGGGCGGGTGCACGTGTGGCGTACAGCCAAGAAAGGGGGTCCGATGAGGGGTCCGGTGGTTCTATTATGCTGTAATCATGCTGCATTTGCTGGCGTGATTTGGGTCACTGCAAATCAAAACAGCATTATTCTGACTGCTCACCTTCACCTATGATGACATATTTCTACCCTGATGGGAGTGGGCTCTTCCAAGAGGATGCCCCATCCACCGGAGTCACTGGCTGTGTTTACATGCAAAGATTTTTGCCAATCTGATTGAATACATTCCGATTATAGATTAAGACTGAGGTGTTTATATTAACTCTATTCATCAGTCTGATGGAAAATCTTTGTTCACGTGCACGCCACAAGTAATCAGATCCAAAATGATGCGCATGTGTGGAGAACCACTTAGAGTAAAAGTTACCATGACAGCGAACATCACGTGAGTCCAGTCAGAGTGAGATGAGCAGCAGTGAGCAGTGCTTGTGTTTTTAATTACTTTAAAATAATGTCAGACTCAGGAAAACGTCCTTCACATGCCCTTATTAAAGAAGGCCGAGAGGAAGACGTCGCGTTCTGAGACACATAAGCTGGACGTCCGTCCCACCGCCGTCTTTTAAAGCTCAGAGCATAAACTTCGTCTCCTCTACAGACCAGTTTCTGCTCCTCCATGTTGAACGGTATAAACTTTCACTATGACGCGACGCACATGCGCAGAACGTACACGTTCCGAGTGGAAATGTAATCAGATACAGGTGTTTACTTTTAATGTTATTCTTCTATTTAACAGATTATTTGCAGGATTACCCACTTCGTTCAATCGGATAAATGTATACCGAACGGCCTCAATCGGAATAGACTGTTCCGATTGAAGTGTTTACATGGACGTATTCGAATCGATTGAGCTATTAGTCGGATTATTGACGGATTATTAGGCTGAATGTAAACGTGGCTGCTGAACCAAAACATAAACTGAGGGTATTTCTTTTTTATGAATGGTGTCCCAACCCTGCCAGGACTGTTTCAGAGACTTGTACAGACTTATATAAGATGGTTCTTCAGGGGTTCTTAAGCAAAGACTATGGTTCTGTATAGAACCATGAGCTCACAAAGAATTCTCAGATGGAAAATGTGTTGTATATGGTTCTATAAAGAACTCTTTTGAAAAGGGTTCTAAATAGCACCAAAAGGGTTTCTTCTTTTGTTACAAGCTTGAGATTGTGACAATAGAACACTCTTCTTCAAGGGTTTTTAGTAAAGAAAATGTTTATATATAGAACCATAAACACTCAGTGTAGAACCCATTTTGTTGCTTTATAGAACCAAAAGACCATATACAACACATTCCCCATCAATCTGAGGAACCATTTCACCATGCAAAGAACCATTTAACCATGCAAGTTCTTCATAGTTCTATACAGAACCATTGTTTTTGCTAAAGAACCCTTGAAGAACCATATTTTTAAAGAGTGTAGAATCTAGGTCCAACACACTGATGTTGCTCTGGAAGCCCAGCACCTTATATAGACACTATGTTTATTTTTCCCTTAATTTGTCACCCAATGTCATTTGCATTCTTAAAAAAGATGGTCCTTTAAGGGTTCTTTAGTGAAGAAAATGGTTCTATATAGAACCATGAACACTCAATGAACCTTTGGCACGCTTAAAGGGTTCTTTGCATCAGGAAAGCGTTCTTGGATGGGATGGAAAATGTGCATAAATGTGCTATAGATGGTTCTACATTATATTGCCAAAAGTATTCACTCACCCGTCCAAATCATTGAATTCAGGTGCTCCAATCACTTCCATGGCCACAGGTGTATAAAACTAAGCACCTAGGCCTGCAGACTGCTTCTACAAACATTAGTGAAAGAACGGGTCGCTCTCAGGAGCTCACTGAATTCCAGCGTGGTACCGTGATAGGATGCCACCTGTGCAGCCCAGTCCAGTCGTGAAATTTCCTCGCTACTAAATATTCCACAGTCAACTGTCAGTGGTATTATAACAAAGTGGAAGTGTTTGGGAACGACAGCAACTCAGCCACAAAGTGGTCGGCCACGTAAAATGACAGAGCGGGGTCAGCGGATGCTGAGGCGCATGGTGCGCAGAGGTCGCCAACTTTCTGCAGAGTCAATCGCTACAGACCTCCAAACTTCATGTGGCCTTCAGATTAGCTCAAGAACAGCGTAGGGAGCTTCATGGCAATGGGTTTCCATGACCGAGCAGCTGCATCCAAGCCTTACATCATCAAGTGCAATGCAAAGTGTTGAATGCAGTGGTGTAAAGCGCCGCCACTGGAGTCTAGAGCAGTGGAGACGTGTTCTCTGGAGTGACGAATCACGCTTCTCCGTCTGATGGACGAGTCTGGGCTTGGCGGTTGCCAGGAGAACGGTACTTGTCTAACTGCATTGTACCAAGTGTAAAGTTTGGTGGAGGGGGGATTATTATGGTGTGGGGTTGTTTTTCAGGAGTTGGGCTCGGCCCCTTAGTTCCAGTGAAAGGAACTCTTAATGCTTCAGCAGACCAAGAGATTTTGGACAATTTCCTGCTCCCAACATTGTGGGAACAGTTTGGGGATGGCCCCTTCCTGTTCCAACATGACTGTGCACCAGTGCACAAAGCAAGGTCCGTAAAGACATGGATGAGCGAGTTTGGTGTGGAAGAACTTGACTGACCTGCACAGAGTCCTGATCTCAACCCGATAGAACACTTTTGGGATGAATTAGAGCGGAGACTGTGAGCCAGGCCTTCTCGCCCAACATCAGTGTCTGACCTCACAAATGCACTTCTGGAAGAATGGTCAAAAATTACCCATAAACACACTCCTAAACCTTGTGGAAAGCCTTCCCAGAGGAGTTGAAGCTGTTATAGCTGCAGAGGGTGGGCCGACATCATATTAAACCCTATGGATTAAGAGTGGGATGTCACTCAAGTTCGAATACTTTTGGCAATATAGTGCATATAGACTCTTTTTGAGAAGGGTTCTATATAGCACCCAAAATGATTCTTCTATTGCTACAAGCTTGACAATGTAACAATAGAAGAAGCCCCTTTGGGTGCTATATAAAACCCTTTTCAAAAAATTCTAAATTCTATACAGAATTATATATAGAATATATTCTATATAGAATTATATTTAATTCTACATAGAATCTATATTCTATATAGATCCACATCTATATCTATATAGATCTACAGCACATTCTCCATCAATCTGAAGAACCTAGTCATGATGCAAAGAACCCTTTAATCATGCAAAGGGTTCTATGAGTGTTCATGGTTCTATATAGAACCATTTTCTCTACTAAAGAACCCTTGAAGAACCATTTTTAAGAGTCCTCCATTTACACTTGATATAACTAACCAACCTTTTAAAGGACTAAGCTCGTCCAGACCACCACAAGCAGTCTTGATTACCACCGATCTATGGGGTCTTTCAAAGGATGATGAAACTGTTGCTTGGATTGTATCACATGGGCCTTTCTAGGGTTAGCAGCCAGCTCCTGCTCTTGTAGTACTCGCCCAGCGTATTTTTTTACTGTTTTTCTGCTTCACCACACCTGACGGAAAAACATGAGCTCATTCTGAAAACATTTCTGAGGCAAAACTCGGTTCTCGATCAGCGGAAGCACTGAACGGTGTTTATGCGTGGGAGACTCCAGAAACAAGACTGACAAGCGCTGAAGTAAACAAGCGTTTCTTACTCGCCATCTCATTGGTGCGAATAATAAATAGGCCCCGCCCCTGCCGAGCGCCTATTGGATAACTCCGCTGTCAGTCAGCCTCGGGTGATCCGTCGTTTCTTGGTAACAACGTCACGTCGGGGGCTTTCCCGTCTTCAGAGCCGAACTCAAGCTAACGGTAGGAAGGCGCAGTACGGCAGAGCGCTAATGGTGACTGAAAGGGCGCTGACGTTAGCGAAGTTAGCGGTGTTTTAGAGTATAACATAGTGAGAAATTGCGCCACATAGCAACTTAAACGACTCCTCAGTTGGTACGCGTGGTTTGGTCTTCTTCGCTAGCTAATGACAGCCAGCTAACCCAGCTAATTCGCGTGTTAATCGTCTCCGTGTTTACCGGGGCGTGATTCTTAAAAACAAGCGCTCGTTCAAGTTCGAGCAGACTAACAACCACGGCTAAAGCTCGAGTTGGCAGCCTAACGTCTGAGTAACCAGCTAGAAGTCCAGCACACTTTCTGGAAAGACATCGTTTATCTTTATTCGGATATTGTAATCATTGTAGCTAACCTAGGTGGGTCGGTAGCTTGAGTAACGTTAGCTGGCGCGGCAGCCAACAGCTTCGCCTCTCTGGAGAAATGTCTAGCTTGTCTGTCCCAGCACAGGAGCAGGGCGAAGGAAAGGGAAAGCTGGAGGCTTCTGCACCACAAAAGAGCATCAGTCAGGTTGTGGTGCCTGGACAGCAGCCGCAGACCGTCTTCGTGATTCTGGATTCATCAGCCGAGTCTCTCAATCTCATCAGGTGGGTGTAGATCAGAAACTTGGCTGCTGCCATGCTAAATAGTGCGTCAAAACAGTAGACCACCATTTTAGTGCATACATCAGTGTCGTAAATATAGTATGTGGTTTGCCTTGTTCGGCTATGGCGTGGGACTTAAAATACATTACATACAAGTTGGGTTGTTTGTACTGTCCCTAGACACAACGTCCAGCTTATGGATCAATTTGTAGTAATGTCTAGATCGCCTTATTGGTAATTACTCAATAGCTGATGTTAGATAGGAAATTAGACTGCAGCCTTGCAAGGTAAATGCCACGTAATGTACAGAAAGGCAATAGTTTCCCATTAAATTAAGATGATTGCTTACAGTTACAGCTGTACATATCGCTTTTATTTCATAACTTATTACTGTACAAAAGCTGTACATTGGAAAAGTGCAATACTGAGTATGAGTATACTAATGTGTATATTGTGTATATGTAATGTGTATATATTTAGAGTCTACAGTAATGTGTCTGAGTGTATATATATATATATATTTTTTTTTTTTCTTATATATTTTTGTATATTAAGTGCTACAGAGGGGCTACACACCTAAGATTTTCACTCACCTTCGCACATGTGTAAATGTGATCTTACAATGAACGTGATTTGATTGCACTTGTTTAATCAATGTAATAACCAAGTTATTACCACTACTGTGAAAAAGCAAGCATCATATCAACAAACAAACTGATCACCAGGCTTAAGTACCACACAGTGAGAATGAAGTCTGCTCCTGGGCTCTCTTTTCCTTTCATTTGAGAAACTCCATTTAAAGTTCTATGTTAAACTGAAGCCTGGGTCGCTGTTATGACATGATGCTTGATTTTCCTCTTAGTGATCTACTGATACGGCCCTGGAATGCACTGTTTGACCCGCTAAAGATAAAGCAACGCTTTGTTGGGTGGCTGCTTGCAACATGTGCTGTGTTTCTGAAATCTGAATCCAATACGCTTCTTTAGATTAGGTTCATTTGTGCGCACCTGCCTGAGGCTCCTTTCAAGGCCGTGTCTTGAGTGGGAGCAGTTCGCCTTTTAGTGGGTGATTATGACTGATGCGTGTCACACTGTCTCATCTGACTAGCTCGACTTTGCTGGTCTCAGCAGCAGGGTCACATTTTTTTAATGCCTGTGGTATTCTGTTTGACCCTTTGATGGCTCACCCAACAGACTGCAGAGTAAGCTCTGGGTCTTTAGGAAAAAAAAGGACCAAATAGCTGATCCTGCCTTTCCTTTCCTCGTGCGAATGAATGGGAGGAACTGATCCTAGATCAGAGCTCTCACTTGGAGATGAGTTATAATCCTAGCAGAAAAGAGGCTTGTTTGTTCTAGCTGTCAGGACATATAATTCGGGAAATTACTGACCACAAACACTGTTTATATAAAGTCCATGTTTAGCCAACAAATCTAGGGTAGTTAATCTTTAAAGTATTGCCAGATTTTTTACTCGGCGAAGCTTGTTTGCTCATCCTTGTGGGTAAACATTGTAAGGGGTTTATTAGCGTGGTTAGGCTTGTCCATGAAGTGAACATGCTAAATAAACGCAGCAGCCGAGTAACTACTACCACTACAACCTGTAATTACATTAATATAGCAGCATCTTATTACACTAATGTAGGTAATAATGGAAGCTCTTTTGAACACAGAAATCTCCATTCAAAATGCTGTGCACTACAGGACTAGACTTAATCTCTGGGAAACTAACCCTTAGTATCTGGAAGGTAATCCAGTCTGTGGAGTCTGTTTCGTGTTAAGATCATCTTAGCAGTTGGAAAGAATGTTCAGAGATACAAACAAGTACAGAGATCTTAGTGCTGTTGTGCTTTTGGGGGAAATGAAACCCCAGATTTGTAAAAAATTAAAACCGTGGCACTTGGTGAGGTTCTGCAGAATGCTTGTCTATGTTCCCCTAAAATGAGAGCTGTGTTAAACAAACAGCTTTCATTTTACTACCTTCATTCTTCACTTGAATTTCACAGGAAATGACTCAGCACAGCTGCCCACGTTTTTTTTTCTTTACTGCTCTGGTTTCCAATGAGCTGCGAGCTGAAAATGAATGAAAGCTGCAGGCTTAGTCCAGGGAACGCCATGTGGTTTTTTTGCATGCTTCCAGGAATGCATTTGTCAACATGTGCTATCCTCATGAAACAAAACTGAGCAGAAATGTCTTGCAGTCTAGAAAAAAAAGTTCACTTCATGGACAAGGCTTGCCTCTTAGACAAATAAGTTGAATCATGGAACTTATTATCATTGTTTTCACTGGGGTGGGACCCTCAAGGGTACATCTCAGTACCTTTAGTCAGGGAACACAACTGTATCATAATCCATTGAAATCATATTTTCTAAGTTGTGTTGACTCCACACACCCCGTCTCGTCTCCAGGCTTTTTATTTTATTGTTCTGTTTTAAAACATTAGGTTATGAAAAGTACAGATATGTACATTTCCACTGGGAAAAAACCTATTTAAGGTGCACAATTAGACCTTAAAACCTCTGTTGTACCTTTTGAGGGTACATTTACATTGTTTGTACCTCGCTGAATGAAAAATGTGCCTGCGCAGAACCTTAATCTCTAACAGTGTGGAGCAGAACTTACCTATTTGTAGGTGAGGATGCAGTTTTGATCGTGTTTAATTGTGACATTAGTTACTACAAATAAAACTAGTACACTAGTATTAGTGCACAAGTATAGGTGAATGATGTTGATGTAAAAAGACTAGGTTTAATCCCTGTCTGGGAGACCAACTCTGTGTGTCCAAAAGTATCCAGACACCCCTTCTAATTAAGCTGCTTCTAATTTGAAGCTACTTTAATGTGCACTGATTGCTAACCTGGGCATTTAATTGCACACACAGCATGTATGATCTCCATAGAAGAGCATTGCCAGTATAATGACACACTCTGGAGCAGCCGCACATGAGCGGCCCCCATGTCCAATGCCAAGCGTCAGGTAGAGGGTATAATAAAGCCCCCCCACCCCCACCCCAACACTGGGCTGTGGAGCAGGGGAAATGTGTTCTCTGGAGTGATGGAGCTCCATAGGGATGAGGTTGTGATCCAGAACTCATCATCCAACATCAGTACCTGACCTCACTGATGCTCTTGTGGCTGAATATAATCAAATCCTCACAGCAATGTTCCAACATCTAGTGCAAAGCCTTCCCAGAAGAGTAGAGGCTGGGATTTCTTTGTGTTTCAGCTGTCTTTGCTCCCTTCTTATGTGGATTAAGTGGTAAAACTCTGAACCTGTTTGAGTGAAAGTGGTGCGAGGGCGCCCTCTGTCGGTGGCAGCGCGATATTAGTTTTTTTCCCCCCTCCACTCCTTCCTATTTTTAGTAACTCTCGATGTGTGTCGGTTAGTGCGCAGCTCAAACGATTTACGAGCGGAATCTCCAACATCGAGGGAACTTTTCTTATCTTTGGACTTGGCCGTTTTTCAGCTGGTGGGAGCGGAGCCGTTGTAAAGCAGCGCTGATATGACGTTTGGGAGCTTTAGCGCCGGAGGATAAACCCAGCACGGCTATCGTCGCGTTTAAAGCACTTCTCCATCGGGACATGGCATCACCCTCCGTGGGCTGGGCTGGTGCTCAAATTCGCTGTAGACTCGATGTGGGATTCATTTAGGTTTGGCTGCATCCCGTCACTCGGATCGGATCTGCTGTGCTGTACAGCGGGTATGTATGCTGTAGGTGTGTACAGAGCCGCTGTAGGTGGACACAGAGCCGCTTGAGGGCCCTCTGCGCTCCTCCTCGGAGATGGGATGTGGACTTAAGCCTGGCTATTAACACTTGCCATCGTTCTGTATTGGTGAAATGAGACCGGGCTGAGAGTACAGCCGCCCTGCGTTCACCTTTTCTCTCACTACAGAGCAGTGCTTAGTCACTCTCCTGAAATGCTCATGGTCATACACAGAGAGAAAACACTGTGAAATGCCTTTCTGCACGGTGGAGGAAATGATATTTGATCTAGCACGCCACAGTTCGCCTCTGTGGGGTCATTCATTGAATTAATCTGCTGTTTATTGGTTGCTGGTGGTAGGTTTGGTGACACTCACTTAACTGATTGTTTTGCAGTCTTGCCCTGTTTCTGTTTTTTGGCCATACTGGATAGATTCGGTGGTTATGGATTTCATTATGGTGAAGTTTATTTGTTTGTTTATTTATTTTTGATAGTTTCCATGGTACTGGATTTCATTATGGTGAAGTGTATTTGTTTATTTTGTTTACAAACAAATAAGCTTCACCATAATGAAATCCAGTACCACCGAAACTATGCAGTACCACCGAAACTATGGGGTCATTCAGTGAATTAATCTGCTGTTTATTGGTTGCTGGTTGTAGGTTTGGTGACACTCACTTAACTGATTGTTTTGCAGTCTTGCCCTGTTTCTGCTTTTGACCGTATTGGATAGTTTCAGTGGTTATGGATTTCATTATGGTGAAGTTTATTTATTTATTTTGTTTATAAGCAAATAAACTTCACCATACTGAAACCCAGTACCACCAGACTTAACCACCAGACCTAACTGTTTTGCAGTGTTGCCCTGTTTCTGCTTTTGACCATACTGGATAGATTCGGTGGTTGTGGATTTCATTATGGTGAAGTTCATTTGTTTGTTTTTTATTTTTGGATAGTTTCGGTGTTGCTGATTTCATTATGGTGAAGTTTAGTTGTTTGTTTTGTTTACAAACAAATAAACGTCACCGTAATGAAATCCAGTACCACCAAAACAATCCAGTGCCACCAAAACTAGGGTGTCATTCAGTGAATGAATCTGCTGTTTATTGGGTTGCTGGCGGTAGGTTTGGTCACACTCACTGAGCTGATTGTTTTGCAGTCTTGCCCTGTTTCTGCTTTTGACCATACTGGATGGTTTCGGTGGTGTTGATTTCATTATGGTGTTTAGTTTATGTATGTATGTGTGTATATATGCATATGTAATATGTTAAAATACATACATTTGAATTTAACCTCTTAAATGACCAGGACCCGCTGGCACGCCCAGACCTTTATAACGCATTTGTATAACTTAAGAATAACAAATGACTACAGTTTGCATTGTTTTCCATGTGGTTACTGAATGATAAGCCTTTTGAGGGGATACGTGTGAAGTTCACTCAAAAGCACAGAAGAAAGAAGACAGAGCACAACCTAAAATAAATAGATAAGAATAAAAATAATAATAAATAATAATAGGATAAGACTAGAATTGGAGAGCAATTGACATCCACTGTTCTGTTCATACCAGCATGTCAGCAGCAAGATTTATTGTTTATGAAGCATCTGAGAGCAGAAGCAGATTCAGCACTCAACACAGACAGGCCCATCAGTTCTGATCTGAAATTGTGTTTGAATATGGGTGCTGGGGGTGGTTCTACTAAGCTGGATTTTCTGGTTAGTTTGGCTTATTTTAGGGCTGAAGACAAAGTAACCCTTTTCATCTCAACTAAGTGCTACTTTAAGTTGAGTGCACTAATCCCTGAGAGCAGCTTTAATGGTTCTCCTGCCCTGTTAACCTTCATCTTGACCCTGGCAGACATTCCCTGGAGAAATGCTCTTTGTGCTAGCATGTCCACTTTTGGAGATGGTTGTGCATTTAAAGTGTTTTTCACATTCTTCAGCCTAGTTATGTTCTTATCTCCTCAGCGTGGAGCCTCTTTTACCTGAGTCTGGAATTGTGGCCGATATCGAGGTGGACGGCATCCTCACGTCCGATTCGGACACTTTCTACCAGCTGAAGAGCCAGCCCATCGCTCTCAGGTGAGTCCAGACACACATCAGAACAGTTACAGTTTATTTAGATTGGAAAAGGTGTAACAGTTTCATACAGCTGCTGGTCTTTCCTGAGGGTCAGCTTTCGTATTGTTTATAGCTCTGTTGCTTTTTTTAATTATGATTTTGCAGCTTTACAGACTTCTATTTTAATTATTTTATTTTATATATTATATTTTTTGTCTTTTCTGAGCCAAACCAACCTGTATGGCAAATAATTAGAGCATTACAAAGATATTTTTAGCACATAAAATATGAAAAAACACACTGAATCTTGACCTCAGAATTGAAAAGTGTATTGAATCTAAAAATATGTGTATTGCTATATGCCTGCTTAGGTAGTAATAGTGGTAGTGCAAAGTTTATTATTGTACTCTTCTTTATTTGGTAGTAATCCACAAGTATGTCTAGCTACAAACGGTGATTTAATATAAAAAAATGATTGTGTTTGAACTTAAAAAGTAAGTTTCCTGGTTGCCTTACAATTTTGAGTGCGTTGAACTTTGAGTGTTTTACATTCGGTTGACTTATTATTTAAAGTTCAGGGAACTTTTAAAGGAACCAGGTCACTAACTCTTTTTAAACTGTCAAACTTTTTTGAACAGTGTACTTACCTAATTTGTGCTGTCAAGAAATGCAAACATTTCTGTTGTGTGCACTCTGACAGTACTTGGATAGTTAGACTTAGATATTCCTAGACTGGTAGACTGACCTGTAAGCCATCACAGAATCTGTTTCAGTTACCTGACCTAAAATAATCACACTTTTCATTTTTTTTTTGTCGCAGTCGCACAGCCTTAGCAAATCCCACTGAACCACACCTCCTAATCTCCAGTCCAAACATACTCTATTTTAGTCAGCTTATCCATCAACTCACCCAAACACGCAAACTCAAACAGCAGGTCAAAATCCAACCACATACCAGACCCAGTGCTGAGAAAACTGAGAGTGTACTCACGCTGTTTGGTGGAACAGTCGATTTTTATCACACTAAAGATAACCAAATGTTTATTTCACTATCAGAACAAGTCAGTATGTACTTTATAAGTAGTCTCTGTAGTTGGGCTGAAAGATTAATTGTTTTATATTGAAATCGCACTTTTTAAAGTGCAGTTTCCAAATCACAGGTGCTGTGGTTTTAATATAGCCTGCGTTATCAGCAACATTTTAAATCTGAAGTTTTAAAGGGCTCATATCCCACGTTCTTTCTTGTATTTTATTTCCTTCCCTGAGGTTGACTTGAATTATGATTTTTGCATGGTTTTATGTACTAAAAGCAGCCATTATTCTTTTTTTTCATAAAAAAGACAGTTTTCCAACCTCTCTTTATCCCTTACAGTTAAACAGGCTGCTTTTGTTGCTATGCCTTTAAGACTGATGTGTGTAAATGAGTTCCATTCTGATTGGCTGCCCTGTATTGTGCCTCAAAAAGCAGGCTGGGTTGCTCCCTATAACTTGACACTGCATGAATAGGTGGGGCTAAACTGCTGTAAGCTGGAGGTGGATATAAGTAAATGTGTTGGTTTTCATGGTATCATAAACACTGTGAGTAAAAAAAAGTGAGTAAAATTAGATTTTTCATTATTTCCTTTTAAGTAGATGAATTTAAAACATTTGGGGACTTGGAAGCCTCTCTTGTGGAAATATGTAATTGCACGGAACGTGTGAAAACATTTTGTAACATGGGTTGTGCTTCGGAGCCCCACAAGCAGATGAATCAGACTTTTGTGAGTGCATTGAAAGAGTATTCAAAGAGACCTCAGTCAAAGCTTGGTGAAGGTCGTGTCTCCTGAGGATGTGGGTGAATTATCTACTACTCTCATCATATCTTCATCAGAATAATGTTGATTTTGAATGGAGATATAAACGGCGGGACACCTGTGAGTGTGATGTTAATACGTAAAGACGTGACGTGGTCTGAAAACTCCCACCAAATCCGTCCCATTACGTCTGACTTTATTGTTGATTATTTAAGGTTTTACAGGGTGACTCGCAGCTGCGCACGCACACCGTATTTTAGTATGTTGTTTCTCCATACTCAGTAATGCTACTTCTTTCAGTTTTAACAAAATATTAGTCCTGCTTTAACCTAGTAACATGGAGCTCATAAACAGCCTGTTGAAGAGTTAGACCAATCAGAAGCGACCAAACACCCATTATTGACAACACAGCCGCAACAAACTGGCAGTCTGGCACACCATGTTTTTTTTTTTCAAGCCTCAAGCCAGAAAAAGTGGATGTGCTGGTCTTCTACGCCAAAAACAACCCTGGATCTGAATTTATAGTAATATTGTGACCGTGATTTGGTCAGAAAAATCGCAATTTGATATTTTCACCCAATCCTCCAGCCCTAATCTCTAGATAAGTGATGTGATGCTTTAGTTTTTATTGTTTTCTATTCTCGCACTGTGTTGTTTGATATCAGTATTGAGTCTGAATGCAGGTTTCTCCATGGTAGTGAAAGCTACACATGAAAGCAAGAGTGGCTTAGGTTTCTGTTCATAGTACATTCAGTGCTAATGCTGTTTTGTAGGGACTTCCCAGAGACTCAGCAGCTGCCAAAACAATGTAATCAAACTGTCTCTTCCCCCTACCTGGCTGTCTGAAAACTTGAAATCTGGAACTTTTTTTCCGCATTACAGTGGGCTGTCAAACTGAAGCTTTGATTATACCAGATTGACTACAGGCTTGCACAACCCAGCATCTTTCAAAGGTTAAAGAAGCAGTTACGAAAAGGCTCCAGAGTCCACGGGCTGAACTCTCTCACAGCCCAACTGCTGTTATCTGCCCCAGCGATCCGAGTGGCACACTGCTCTTTGGCTCCGCGTGCGTCAAAGCTAGAAGAGCAAGAGCACTTCTGCTGACTGCTGTTGTTGTTGCCGTTGGCCGCTTGGAACTGTGGGACTTCCAACAGTGACTCAGCACAAATTCAGGCCATGCTGGGAGGAGATGTGAGGGGCTTTCTTGGGAAAGGCGAGACTGAAGTCATTTCAGACATTTAGCCTTGTTTTTGCTGCAGGATCTTCTAATGAAAACAGTGTTCGGAGTGGGGTTTCCAGAATTTGTTAGGCAATATTTCATCACAGTGATGCTAGTCAGGGCGATGTAAATTATGTTTTTTCTTACCCATGAGCAGAAAGCAAAATTAAATGTACAGCCAGAAGGGTTTCATAATTTGTTTTTCTGGTCTGCTCCCAGCGTAATAATGACTACACTGTTTGCTGCTGCTCGTAATGATCACTACAGTGTCTAATTACTGCATTAGTCAGTAGTTAAACATAGACTTTGTGGAATTATAGGCCAGGGCTGTTGGAATAAGTAGAGGTGGGTTGATTCTGAGAACTCTGTGCAATGAATAGTTGCAACTTGGTTTGATTTTGGGTTTATTTCTTTTGACTATTTAGCTCTTACACATATTATTAGCTTTGTGAGTTTGTGCTGTGAAGGAAAGCTAGTTTAAACCATAGATGTCCCGTTCAGATATGTTACTCTATAAGAGACGTCTTCATCGTTACTGTACTCAGATTGACCCGTACTTCTGATCTAGGATCAGTTTGTTAATTTTATATCCAAATGAATGTACTTACAGTCAGATGCAAAAGTTTGGGCACACCATCAAGTTACGTATTTTGTTGATTTTCTAAGTGAACACATCCTTTAAAAAGAACACACTTTTAATGCACAATTGCTGTTTATTTACTGAATTTAACACATTAGAAAAAAATACAACATAGGATGTGGCATTTGTGAAATTTGTAGCATGTTAAGTGTGTCAGTATGTTAACCTTAGCAAGTAAATAGATATTGTGCATTAAAATTTGCAGAAATATGAAATTACGTATTTAAGTTTGTTCCCTGTAGAGGATATGTTAACTTATTTTTACTTAGAAAATAAAAAAAACAAGCAACTTGACTGGGGGTGTTCAAACGTTTGTGTATGACTGTATATCAACAGGATTAAGCTGATCCTACATCACTTTACTCCACTTTCTGAAATGTGCCGTAAGGCGAATTACAGCACAGAGGGGATGGTTACCGTCTACATCCATAACCTAAAGTTGATTTACCCTTTTTCCATTTTCCCAGTGGCTCAGTTGCCCCCGCTGACCCTGTGGTGACCCCGGGTGCCTCAGCGATGACGTCGCGGGTGCTGATGAGGCAGGAGCTGATGAGGCAGCAGGCTCAAGACCAGGAGAGAAGAGAAGCCCAGCAGCAAGCGTCCAGCGCTCAGCTCCGCCCCACTGACACCTCGCCTGCCATTTCTGTATCCTCTGCACTGCCGTCCGCCCGCTCCACGCCCACACAGGTCCCGGTGGAGGTGCTGAAGGTAGGAGCAGATCTCTGAAGAATTCAGTAGCGGCCGCTGCTGCTCCAATGTCAGCATTGAATTTTTTTTTGTCTTTTACTTGATGTTCAGAGGCAGTTTTGACCGATTTAAGGGCATTTTTGCAAACTTTATTAAAACACTTCGCAGGATGAGACAGTCGACCAGTGATGTTGCAGCATATTCAGGAATTAGTCTTTAAAATAAAGAAGTACTCGATGTTTTACCCAATCAGTGAATGGAAAAAAAATCTATTAACTAATGTATCAACCACAGGTCACTACAGGCAGTCCGGCTCCTTCCACACATATCTGGATATTTTTGAAAACGTTTTGTTCTCCCATACATGAAAACAGAGCGTTTAGAAAACAGTCTCTAGGTTGGAGATTTCTGAAAACTCCTGCACGCCTGCTGCTCTTTACATTTATTGAGCATGCAGAACTCTCTCTGAAATGTGGCTGACTGGGCTGTTTCTGTGTGCTCGGTAGTTTGGGTTGATAACATGTTTATAACTGAGTTTATCTTTGCTTTTTTATTACACTGTAGTGCAGAGGCGTCAGAATATACTACACTCAGTTCTTTTAAATGGAACATCAACTTGATTCCAAAGATGTGTGACTTGATGATCATTAACCAAAGTCAGATTTTTAAAAAATCCTATCTCTATAATTTAAATGGAGAGGAAAGTTAGAAAAACTCAGCTTCTCTGTCTGATCAGGACTGTGTGGATTTTTCAGAGAAAGTGACACAGCAACGTAAAAACATTAAAAAAACTCACAGCAGCAAGTGGTAGGTTTTCTTTCATTTTTTGCACTTTTATTTTCTGACAGAAATCAGACTTTGAATCTGTGTGAAATATCGAATTATGGAGGTCTGATGTCCTCCAAGTTAAAGCCTACTGTTTGTAATCACCATCACTTTGTTAGAAACTCGCAACACGCACTCTAACAATGCTCTTCATGAGGCATTTGATATAAAGTTATTGCATCCTCCTGGGCTGACATGTTAATGTCAGTGTTGTTGTTTTAATAGTTTTTGGAAACCTGTGGACAGAGAGATTTTCGAAAGATTGCTGTTAGTGTGGACAAAGTTTTTTTTTTAAACCCATTTAAAAAATATGCGGATACGTCTGGACAAAGCCTGAAACCACATTTCACATGCCGTCTTTATATAGATAGTCTAAAACTTTGCCAATCATCAAATTGTCTAAAAAAAACAGAATTCATACTGGAGCATTTTTTGCCCATGTGGTTTTTAGTTTCTTATGCATTTTTTGTCTGACGCTATGCGATACACTTAAGAAAGATTTGTGGAGAGCTTGTATTTCCATTGATATCATCATTTTAGTGCAGTAAATTTTAAATGCTTTGTTTTTGGGCATGTTACAGTTTTGCTGGTTGTTGAAAAAGATTGGAGCATCCCTTTATAGTGCACTCTCATGTTTGATCATCAACTTCCAAATATATGAATTATTGAGCGGCTGAGAAAAGCTATCCAGTATTTGTTACCTCTACAGACAGAAGATCTGCTCATGGTCTGTTTCTCTGTTTCTGTCTTCTCTACTCAGGTTCAGACTCACTTGGAGAACCCAACCAAGTACCACATCCAGCAGGCTCAGAGGCAGCAGGTCAAACAGTACCTCTCCCACACCTTCGGCAATAAGGCCAGTCAAACGCTGGCCAAGTCCCCTTCACCCCAGTCAGGCTCTGCCCCCGAACTGGCCCCCGCTGCCAGCAGCACTCCCAGCAGCCCCCTGGCTGTGCTCAGTCTGGGCTCAAATAAAGAGGAGGTAAGATAACATCCAAGGCTTATGGCACAGTTTTGGGAACAAAGTGCAGTATTCCTTTTAATTACAATAGAAAAAAGTAAGCATGTTTATTTTTTTTGTAGTTTTTTGGCAACTATTTGGATAATTGAGAAAGCTCTGAGAGAGAATAAGTAACAACATCAACACTTGTCCAGAGTCAATTTGATAGTGTTTGTGTTTAGCACAAATAGGTTGACGCCTCTGTGCCATTTCAGAGAATTTGGCTTACGAGGTGCTGCATGTACCTTGGCAAAACCCTGTAAGTTGGCAGATTAATTTTGAACTGGCATCTGCATGGCTTTAGCAAAATAAAACCAAGAGGCATAATAAGATTCAATCCTGTAGGTTCCTCTTCTCCTTTATATAATACTGTGTAGGTTAATTCATAGTATTGCCTCTTTAAATAACTGAAAACATATCGTTGCACCTCCAGGTATTTCTGAAGACCAAATAGGGCGCTGAGGGTGGTTGTCTGGTCAGGGCTTTTCGGACATTATCCACTGGTGCCCTTTTTGCCCTGTTGTGATCAGCTTTATCATTTAGATCTTAATTAAAGGTTGCTTATAGGTTTATATGGTCCCATTATGAATGGGCTCCAGTTAGGGCTGTAACAAAACATCATATTGCGTTGTATTGCGACGTACCATATTGTATTGGTGTATTGTCATTAGCAAGGTAGCTTGTGGTTAGTGTGTTAGCTTATGGCTAACATATTAGCTGGTCGAGCTAATGGCTAGAACATCAGATCAGGATACTATAAAGCACACCCTTTGTGTCAAACAATGAGTGCGTTTACATGCACTCAATAATCTGATCATAATCGGATTTCTGCAGTTATCTGATTATTCAAATTGTAAATAGCATACTCAGATTTCTTAGATCAGAGTAAATCTGATAAAGAGAGCTGGATTTTAGCTCAGTAATCAGATTTCTCAGTGCATGTAAACTCTTACACAGATTTCTTTTGGATTTCTCAGCGTGAGCATTTGTGAAAACAGACCGCAGTGCCGGAAATAAGTAAGCAGCGTTGCCGCGAGACGCAGCAAAACACTTTTGGAGTGATGCTGAAACCAAATACATGCTTGACGAAACAAAAGATTTAAATATTCTTCTAGATATTCTTCATCTTCTAGATGATATATGTTCATGTTTTTAGGTAAAGTGGCGCGATGTTTTAAAAAAAAAGCTGCAGCATGAAGTTTGAGTTTTACATTATGGTTACATCACGCCTTCTTCTGTGAGTTTATTGGTCAGTTGCAAAGCAGAAATCAGATTACTGTCTGACTCGTGTAGACCAGGAGTTTCCACCACTGTCTGATTACTGAAGTGCATGTAAACGCATTGATCTGATTACTGACAAAATATGATTTCTGCATATTGGGTTGTTGAGTGCATGTAAACACACTTAATGTACTTTTATCATGTTGAATACTCTAATAAACTTTAACTGAAACATTAATGTGAAGCACATTTTCAGCCAGTCGTTAGATTTGCGGTATCAAAAAAAAGGATGGATTTGAAACCGTATTGTATCGAGTCGAATTCTGAATTTTGTGAATCGTTGCAACCCTAAAACCTGTCCTGTAGTCTAAGTCTGTTGTAGAATGTTTTGCTACAACCATTTTGCCCCTTCCTCAGTGTGAGTTAGTAAAGTGTCCAGTGTGTGGGCTGGATATAGTCACTGTCCAAATAGAAACAAGTATCTCCAGAGGGCTAACTTTACAGAAGACTGCAAAAACACTGTTTGCTTTTAATTTAAGTCAATGTAAAGAGCTTTTATTCTGGGCTATTTTGGAGCATTTCTGTTGGTCCATGTATCATAACATTTTCACACAATGTAAAGGGCAGCTGCTGAGCTTAAATGATGTAGAAAAAAGAAAATAGCAAGAAATGGCCTTTTTTTTTGGTTAATATTGCACGATATGCAATATCAAATGCAATACATCCCTTTCCGAAAGACCAACATGGTCAACCAGAGAATTTCACAACCAAGCACCCAACAAAACTCCATCACAATATGCAGGGAAGTTGCTATTGCTCTTCTTACTCATAGTCTGCAAATGTACCACGGTGTAAGTATAATCTCTTATTTTTCCCTTTTTAAAGCTATGAAACACTAAGCTATTTAGACATGTGCTGTTGTTCCAATAACGAACCGGTCTGTTTACCTCAGCGGTATGTCTAGATCCTTTTGAAGTGTGTTCAGTTCCCTCTGTAAATACAATAGCATGCTTTGTCGAGTCGATGCGAAGTTGGCCAGGCCCTCTCGTGTGCTCTCTGTGTTCGGCACCACATTGTGCTGGTAAATATCACACTACCAGCTCAATGGGCCCCTCCACACTTAGCACGCTGTGTGGGTTTGGCTAGTAAAGCTACACAGCATGTGTGACTCTTGCTTATCATTCTTAATAAGCTCAACTGTCTGCTACTGCCAGGCTTGTGTGCAGTACGAGCCTAACCCTCCGGAGATGAAGTACATGCAGCCTAAGGTTTAATATGTCTCTCTGTTATAGCTGCAGTGGGCTGTAATGGGATTTAGTTGCTCTTTTTAATGAATGAGGTAGACTGACCGAATGTCTCATGGCTGGGTGGCCAGTGTGTCACCGTGAAACTGCTGCATTGTGTGTTTTTTTTTAAGACATCCTGCTGTCTTATGACTCAGCGTGGAAAATGACCACCTCAGGCATATTTCTGCTTTAAAGAACAAGCAAATGCTGCAGTATTTACTATGTTTTTTTTTACGCTTCAAGGTCTGATCTTTACTGGCTTTGTTTCTGCATTTATGTGCAGATTGAAGATGTTATTGATGACATCATCAGCCTGGAATCCAGCTTAAATGACGAGTGTATGACGCTGATCGACTGCGGCCTGCAGCTGCCCAGCACGGTACGTCCCGGTATCCGAAAAAAGCCTGCATGTAGGAATCTCTAATTGTGTTTTTCCTGATTAATATTGCAATTGCAATTTAAATGAGATTAGTTTCTATAAATTAAGCTCCACGTGTGGTTTTTTATTTGTTTTTTGGGTTGTTTTTTTGCCAAGAAGACCAGAATATACATTTTTTAGGCTTTACGCTTGAACACTGAATGCGTTCCAGATCCAGTGTGCCAGACTGCCAGGTCGTCAGCTCTGAATTATTAGCTTTACATCTTAAGACAGCTTTGAATAATATAGGATATATTTAATTACTAAAGTTGTGATTTGAAAACTGCAATCTATTAAATTACAATTTCAATATAAAAACAAATTATCAGTCACCCCTACCAGCAGTTTTAGCTGCAGGAGTCTTTAGGCTGCACTGAGCCTTTCAGTTTCAAAGTGGTTTCAACACTCTTATCACTGATTTCTCAAGCTGAGCAAGCAAAAGCAAGGGGTATGAAATGCAGAAGGGTTGTGTAAATTAATACAATAGATTTGTTCACTTGATAACTGACATGTAAAAAGTGCCCACTGATTTCCTACAAACACCAGATGACGTTTCATTCAACGTTTTTTAACCAGAATTTCTGCTGTGAACACAATGCCTTGCCTATTCGTTTATTAAAAACATTTCACAACCTCGGCCACAGTTTCATTATAACTATAAGTCAGGCACCACCGGTTTTAATTCCTGTCATAATTGCTCAAGCAGGGTTGATGTCGAGGTTTCATGCCCTGGCATGTCACAAGTGAAGCATTTGGATTGGTGTGGCTGAATTTGTGTAGGAGCTACTGGAATCCAGTTCTGTTCTAGAAACTAACATGCATTTCTAACACATGGCTACCAATGGGCGGTGATGGGTGGGGAACACACACTGGGTAACAGGGGGAGGGGGCAGACACACACACACATACACACACTCAGGCAATGGCCATTGAGTAGGAGTGTGTGTGTGTGTTAAAGCAGAGAGCTGACAGTGAAAAGTTTTCTGAAAGATATTTCCCCATTCGTGACGTTCTTTTCCTTTTTTTATAACTGTAAGAGAAAGAGGAAGAAGTGTGCTGTTGGTAGGAGAAGATGAGGATTCTAGTTTTAGTGCCGGAGAATGAAAAGAAAAGAATTAAAACCGAGGTAAATTGCGTGTTTTTTTTTCACTCTTTCGCTTGCTTTTGATAAGATGGCTGATTCAACACTGTCACTATGTTTTGAAGCCTATAAAAGGTAGGAGGTTTGTTGGTTTCAGATCGTGTTGGTTGCAGGTTCAGCTATAATTGGTGTAAATTATTTGCTGTTCGAATAAATCTTGTGAAGCTGTGCCTGGACTGAGCTCTGCTGCTCTCGTATGCAACGTGCTTAACGTTCAAGAGAGCACATGGCTGGCTTTGAAGAGTAAAGCACTGGCATTGCAGACCAAGAGGAAGCTCCTAAGGAAGTTAAAATACCATTGACTCTTTTATGGGCTGTTTTTCGAACAGCGGAATCCAAAAAGTTCCAACTTCGTCTAAATACATGTGGTTTTGTCTAAAAGACTTAGTTTGGATCATGATCTTGTGCATTACAGTTGAGAGCAAACATACAAGCGCATTTTATTTTTTGCTTTAATTACATAATAATGTTTCAGGAAGATTTTAACATAGTAATTAATAATTAGAAAATGCGATACACTATACAGGACGATGCAGGCTATGCTAGTAGGCAAATATTAAGTCATCTCACTTCTATTTTTACTGGGAATCCCTATTACTTAGCATTAGACGTAAGTATAAAGTTGAATTACATGTCACCTGCAAGGCAGTGAAATTGACAGAATGTCAAATTTGTCATTTTACATGTCCAAGTTGTGCTTGACTATTGTACTGGAGTCCTAGTAATTAAAAACTACAGCATATCTAAGGCTAATACATCGGTGCAGCTCTAGATTTTACAGGGCAGGGCTGTACAAGTGTGCAATTTTTTGGGTAGTAAACCTCAGACTGTAATTGGGCAATACAGAAGTGCACGACCTTGAAATATTGCATTTGTCTAAACTGTAGGTTGACTTTGTTTGGCTTTACACAAACGATATACTATATGGTGAGGCAGGTTGCATTATTAAATCGTATTATTATGTGCAGCGGACTAATGTGCCGGTAATATGATGTAAAACGGTAGCTGAATCAGGTGTGCTGTTTGGCTCCGATGGGCTATTAGCACATGTGAGAGTAAATGTTTTGTTCTTGTTCGCACACTATGATGGGTAGAAGCAAATCCAACTCGGGCAGTTTGAGTGACACAGGATGTGAGTAATCCAGGGATGGGGTGACAGTTTGTTCCTTAGTTCCACGACTGCAGTCTTACATTTACATTTACATTAATGTTCTGTTGTGTGAGGGAGGGTTATGTAGAGATCTTCTACAGAGTTGCTCCTCATTTAAAAACCTGCTGTTATTGGTTTGCAGCTGCCAGTCTCAGGAAACCTCCTGGATGTGTACAGCAGTGCCGGGATGGCCACGCCCACCATCACCGTCAGCAACTCCTGTCCGGCAAACCTGCACAACGTGAAGAGAGAGCTGACAGGTGCTTCAGAGAGAGCTGGCAGTTCGTTGTCCTCTTTTTTTCTCTTTCCTTTTGTTCTGTCAGTCCAGCCTTTTGTCTCTCTCCGATTCCCCTCTTCCTTATTTTCTGCCCAGCCCCTCCCTCACAGTTTGATTGAGTCAGTCTGAATATGCCTGTCTTATTTAGACACTTCCTGTTATGTGTACTTCTCTTTTACATTGCCCTGGCCGTAGTACATTATGAGAGAAGGTTGTTCTGGGGCTGAGGTGATTAAAGGTGAAAATCAACAATGCATAGTATTTGGCCAAAATATTGGGCCTCAGTCACCAATATCTTCCTTTTTTTCCTTAAATTTGTTCTTGAGAAATGTCTTAAGAAAAAGTTTACGTCAGATTCATGAATTGGTCGCACCTTTGTGCTCCTAAATGTGTAGACTCTATTCTTACCTAAGAGCAAATCCCAAATAAGAAAACACTGGTGAATGTCAGAATCTTTGTGAAAACTTTGTAAATGGGTTTTAAGAAGATTTTTTTCTTAAGAACAGTTGGTAAATGAGGCCCATTGATGTTACTCTAAACAAACAAATAACAAACGTCAGCTTACTGCCTTGATCAAATCTCTATTTGTAAAAACATTTTAAAATGTTAAATATCTCTATGGATCAGCGTGTTGGTTTTAGTTGTTGAGTGCATTGTTTACTTTCATCTAGGAATGGGAGATATGGCAAAAATATCATATGATACTAAAATACACAAGACAACATATCAAACTATTTGTATTGTGATATTTTGACACGGAAACAGTGCACTAGTAGTGCATCATTTAAAAAATTGCCATCAAAAGGTACAATTTACACTCTCTTTATAACGAAACATGCAGTTGGTCAATGTTCTGTAAGTACTGATGATAACCATGATGTGTTCAGAAAAGCATATTATCTTGATAACAGAATTGATTGTGATAAAGTATTGTCATCTATTCTATTCTAATCTATTCTATTCTGTTCTATTTTATTCTGTTCTATTCTGAATGTGTACTTTACATGCTGTTTTTCAGATGCCGAGACTAAAGCTCTCATTAAGGAACGGCAGAAAAAGGACAACCACAACCTCAGTGAGTTTCACTTGCGCTTGCTCAAGTTTTTGAGTTTGATTGCTTAATAAAATTGAACGTTCATTCATTTCCAAATTCTTATGAATTGCGACTATGAAAATAAAAAAAAAAAAAAACAGCGAAAAGCTGATCGTGAAAAGATAACTAAGTAGAGGGAAGTCTATTAACACGATGCCTTTAACGTGTTTTGTTGAAGTAGTTACCTGTACATCCGCAACAACTTGTTGCCAAAAAAGTGGACCTGGAAGAGAAGAAACACTGTATTTTATACTATTTTGTTCTGATAATTAGACACTGAATATGTGATACCGAGTTTGTAGCCTTCTGTCGTAAACCACCTAAACACCAGAAAGGGAACTGTTAGCTTGTGGTAACACATCAGAAACAGTCAAAGTGAAGTGCTGCAGGTCTACAGTCACTAAATATGTTCATTCCTCCACAGTTGAGAGGCGGAGGAGATTCAACATTAATGACCGCATTAAGGAGCTGGGAGATCTTGTTCCAAAGTCCAGTGACCCGTCAGTATTCATTGCATTTTTTTTTTCACAGTTGGGTTTAAGTTTTGTTTTGAGCCCTTATGATTAGTAATGTTTAGTAAATCTTAGAAAAGAGCATCTCACCAACAGCAGTCACTTAAAGAGGCACTTTGGCCAAAATTTAAAAATGTGAAAATATTGTGAAAATACCTGCTCACCTAAGTAGTGCTCACTTACAGTGGTGCCACGGTGGTTTCTAGACTGTGCAGTTTTCAGTTTAAAAACTAGAAATAACTCTTTTTGATGAAGTGTCTTGAAGGTGGGAGGATCTTTTGAGAAACTACATGGTTGGACAGTTTAAATGTGTACATAACGTAGCAATAGGCCGGAATGCTGCTTATGCTGTACCTAATGGTATAGTATGCGGCTGTGCACGGTTTTATTCTGGCTGAACTGTTACATACTTAACACTATGAGCTAAAGACTTAGGATGGCCTGCCATTGGTGTATGGGTCTAACCATGCTTCTGTACTTTCCTCTTTGCTGCTGTGGAAAAAGTGAGATGCGCTGGAACAAGGGAACCATCCTGAAGGCGTCGGTGGACTACATCCGTAAACTGCAGAAGGAGCAGCAGAGGTCTAAAGAAATGGAACTGAGGCAGAAGAAGCTGGAACACGCCAACCGCACACTGCTTCTCCGCATACAGGTCTGCTCCTCCAGCCTTGCAGGATTTCTCTCCTTCAGCATGCTTAAAGCAAGAACTAGGGAAGGGACACTTGGTGGTTTTCACAGTATACCACTTACAGAATCAAATGAGGATCGTACTGTTTCATATTTTTAATTTTTATTTTGAAAACTGGGTATGAGTACCATCTTTAAACTCCACGATGGAAGTAAACTATCAACTGTTACAGTCTCCTTGCAAATCATACACTAGGATAAGGCATGTTTGTATAGTTATAATCTGAACAGTCAACAGTAGTGCACATTGTAATTTCATGTTTACTCGAGTTGGACCATTTTTGCACTACTTTAGGCTTATTTGTCTACTTCTGTGACCCTAAGGGTTACGCTGTGGTGCAACAGAGTTTCTCAAACTTGGTTTAAACATTGCCTGTTTAGTAGCTTTATTTTGCAAGAGTTAAGAAACAAAAAAGAAGAAAACAGAAATTAGAATCATACTAAGTTTCTTCTATTAAAGGAGTCAGCTCTTGGTTTTGGATTGTGATTTGATGTAGGCCAAAGCATCAAGCAGTGTTTAGGATTACAAATACATTTCAGGATTTAGTCTATTTTCCAACAACGTAGTTGATTTGAATGGGGGATCAGGCAGATATGATTAGAGCTGCAATAAAACTCAACAGCGACAAAATAAATTATGCTTCAGTTAAGGGCCTTTTACACAGCAAGTGACGAGTAGCTACCGGGTCGGCCTGTTTCTCTCCGCTTCCCTTATTAAAGGTCAGAACTCTTTTCATGCAGCAGGTGGAAAATCACTTGCTTCTCTCAAGTGGTGAGCTCAGCTAATGCTCGTCTTGCGTAGATTGCTCTGATATTTTAAATAAAAAATAGGAATCGCAAAAAACATTAAAAGTACTTATTGCACAGACTACCAATTTAATGATGAGGTATTAAACACTCACTGTAACGTTATCGTGGACATGTGGGTAATTTAGTCAAACAATTTGCAGTTTGATCAGTGTTTTCTTAGACATGCAGAGCAGCTGTAATGCTCTGATCTTGTGATACAACCCCTCCTCTGATTGGAGCCTGTAAACAATCACTGTGAACTCTGCGCCACAGCACGGCAGCAGGAGGAGCAGACAGTAGACTTTTTATTCCTCAAAAAGATTTTTGTCTCACTCAGCATGGAGAAGAAAAAAATGTTCAAATACATATGTTTGCATCACAAACTGCTTGTGTATGAAGTAAAGAAGACTGAACTTCAGCTCCCATGTGTAGACTGGTATGAGACCCAGTGTGGAACAAAAACTCCACTGCTTGAAATGTCATATTCTCAATAGCAGAAATTAGCATTCTTGTCAAGAATGTATTTGAATAGCAGAGACATCTCGTCGCTGTCCAAAGGAAACCATGCATCTCCATTTTTATTTTTTTATTTTTCTACCTCATTTTAACACACCAGCTTTCCTTTACGTTGTGTGAAAAATGTACGATGAATGGACCAATAGAAATGCTCCAAAATCACTTGGAATAAAATCTCTTTACATTAGCTTACATTAAAAGATAAGAGGTTTTTTTGCCTTTTCATGTAAAGTTACTATTTTGAAGATACTTGTTTTTTTTCTGTGGACGGCGACGAAATGTTTCCACAGTAAGCACTGTTATAATAATGACTGGCATGGCATGTACATGATGATTATATGGCAGTACTTGCCATTTTTAGACTGGTACAGTATATACAGAACAGTATATTTAATTAAAGGATGTTTCCTGCTCCGTTTTATGTTGGAGCAGCTTCACAGCTCTTGGTAGAGGTCTCAGTGATCTATGGCAGGGTTCTCAACTCTGGTCCTAACTGCAAATAGTGTGATCCTGTGTGATAGTGATACACAGTGGGACTTGTTATGTGGACAGTTTTTTATTTTTATTGTTTAATTATTATTTTATAGTAAATACTGCTACTTTTTGCCTGTAGTGTGACTTAGGATTGTGCTTAAATTTTAAAATGTCTTTTTTTTCTGGTTGATTGGATCAGGAGTTGGAGATGCAGGCTCGTCTCCATGGCCTCCAGGGTTCAGATGCCACCCTCATGCAGCAGCAGCAGCAGCATCAGCAGCAGATCACGTCTCTGGACTCAGGCAACGAGCCCCTTTCTAAAACCATCCTCACTCTGGGCGGGCCAGGGCTTAACCCAACCACCACCTCTACTTTACTCTCCCCTCCCCCTTCTGCCTCTCCTGTGGCCGGAGCCATGACCATCCCTCTTGACTTCGGAAATCTTAGCTTCGGTGAGCTGGACGACCCCGGCTCTTCCATGTTTAACTCCGCCCTAATGGGGGACATTGGCCTGGGGGATATTTTGATGGACGATGGAGGTGCACTGTCGCCAGTGGGGGGCGCCGACCCCCTGCTGTCTTCGGTCTCTCCCGGAGCCTCCAAGACCAGCAGTCGCAGAAGCAGTTTTAGCATGGAGGAGGATTTGTGACGGATGTGATTCGCAAAAGTTCGGTCTGCGGGACTGTTTTACCGAAAACCCAGCACTAACAAGCAGCCCAGCGTTTCCATTCCTGCTTATATGCCTCAGAAAGTGGCCAGTAAGGGCCAATGTATCACAAGGTCAATTCTTTTTAATCATAGTACTGTAAAAGACCCACACACAGTGTGGCTTGCGATTCACTGCTGAGATAAGAGACGCTTCACTCCGTAGTTTTTACCTCGTTGAATTAGAGGTACTGGGGTTTAGAAGAGTTGGTAGGAGCGAAGTAGCAAGATGAGCCACGATTTTTTAACAGGACGTATGATGCAAGTAGATGTATATATGGTAGAGTTTAAAATTAGGGATGACAATAAGCACCTCTTTTATGATTTTGTGTTTATTGTACTGTTATAGAAGCAGTGATAGGCTATAGTTCTGAGCACACTGACCCAGATTTTGCCACCAAACACAAATATTATACAAGCTGACAGAGGGCTTTACATCGTTTATAAGAAGAACTGACAATACTGAAGATTTCAGCAGACACAAACTGTAATGACCTGGCAAAGCTGTGTTTGTTTTTCTGTCGTGTTTGAGGTAGAATTGGTGGCTCTGCGAGGCCAGGGCTCAAACAGTCTGGAGTTTGAGGCTCATCAGTCTTTTTTTTAGTGAAACAAAAGAAGACGAATGTCCAAAAAAACAGATGCATCATTGTAGATCAGTTTCTACCTTCAGATCATCTCTCACTATATCACATAGCTCATAATTTCAAAGGGATAGTAGCGCTCTGCTCTTCTGTTTTGTGTTTATTTGCATATGTTTCTGCTTTTGTATGAATTGGTGTAAATCATGTTTATATAAGGAGGCAATGAGCCTGTAAGGACACTCTTTTAAACGTCCCTCAGGAAAAATGAACTGATAGAACGTCACGCATCCTGTTCATATTTGTGTCCATTTCCTGCTGGGCATGTTTTTCACCCCCTCTGTGGAACTAATGATGACGATAATGGAGTCTTTTAAAGCTTGTTTCTGTTTCTGAAGTTGAAGTGAGAGTGACTGAGCTGCTGCTCTGATTACTGTCCACTGTCAGATGGCTCCCTGGGGGCTGGGGACACCAAGGCCATGAAAGCCTGGTGTTTTATTTGATGTTTGATTTACTGATATAAATGTTCTCTTTTAAATGTCTCTCCATATTTCAGATTAGCCCACAACAACATGTATGTCTAGTTAATATTTTTTGCTTTACCTTTTGTCTTTCCCAGTGACAGCATTAAGTTCACTTTTATTTATTTTTTAACCAATTTGGCCCCACTTTAAATGTTTAATTGGTCCGGATTTATACTAGCGTTCAAAAGTTTCAAAGCACTTGCCTTGTTAATTGCTATTATTTTATTCAGTAACTTGAATACAGTGCTGTAATCTGGATGCCGGAAGGTATTTCAAGATGTTTTATTTAGTTTTTTCCAATAAATTGTTACATTTCTTAATAGGTTGATTCCTGAGAGGGAATTATGGATGTTAATTTTAGTATTCTCAGTAACGTTCTCATTATTGTACAGCTGTCCCAATTATTGTAGAACAGGGGTCGGCAACCCAACCCCTTTGGGAGCCACAACATTTTATGTCCATTTCACCATTTTAGCTGTAAATGTCTCAGTATGTGCTGATGTGCTAGTATAGGATAAAAAATATAATATAAACGAAAACGCAGACTTACTTTGCTTTAAGATTTACCTCTATAGCTGCTTTTCTCGCGTCTCTGGCAGGAAACTTTTACACGAAATGGAATAGTTTCTTGTAAAATGTCCCTCACCATTTGATTTTTACGAGGCAGAAGTCAGTGGAAAATTCAAACAAGAAACTGGCAAACGAGAATCTGACTTCAGCTTCGCAACGTTTTTTTAGTGTCTCGTTGAAGATTAAACGTCTGGAGTGATTATGAATGCAAATAAGTCGATTCATCTCCAAACTGTCGATGTTCATCTTAAATCTCTCTCTTTGCTACTAGCTGTGTTGCTATGGTGACCAGCAGTCTGTTCGCCAACCTCCAGGGTTAAAGGTTGGTGAATTGGCAGTTATACATTAACGCCAGCGTTTGTTAAAGCTGTGTTGAACGATCAGCAGAGGTTTATTTTACTGCAAAAGAGGATTATTTTATTTTTGCCTAAAAATCCGATTCTGCTGTGGAGCTGCAACAGGGCAGTAAAAGAGCAGTATGTTGCTGACCCCTGGTATAGGACCATCTTTCTGACCACCTCTCTTTTTTTTTAAAGCTTCCCAATAATTAATTTAAATCTGTGAAGTTATAGAGCAGTAGCCTCATAATAGATTTTATATATGAACATTTTTTATTATTATTGAAAACAGTGGTCCCAAACTTTTGAACGCTAGTGTCATTATGAAGTGTGATTTTGGTGATGACGGCAGCAGAACTGCACAGGACGTCCGAAGTTTAGAATCAGTGGTCACATTTGTTGACGCTGCGTATAGTCAGTCTTAAGTGCTGATCTAGGAACAGCCTTTTATAGCACTTTTTCACCCGACACTGCGGAACAGCACCAAACTAATTCAGACCCAGAACTGTTTGTACCCTCGTCAAGTACCTGTGTTCGTCTCCCAACACATAACGGTACTGATCAAAGTAGGCCGGCTTCTCTGGAGGCTGTGCGGTGTTAACAGGATTTCCCACAGGACACCAGTGACAACAGTAAACACAAACAGCAGCAGTACCGCTGGCTAAGCTTCAGGCTCTGATTTTCTGTTTCAGTTTGATTTGCTTTTATGTCACAGACAGTGAGTCCGGTTAGTGTTTTTAGAAGTGGTGCTTGTGACTCAAGTGATGATGCATGAAATTTCCATGACCATTGAGTCTGACTAATCAGTGGTCTGCAGTGTTACTAGTGCTAGAATGGTAGCCAAGTTCTGGTTATCACTGGTACTCAGAAATGCCTCGTTTGGGAGCAGAATTATGTCAAAATGTGTGATCACGAGTTTGTAAACCAAATTTGTAACCGCATCGTGCTGCACCGCACTGTCTGGTGGAAAAGCTATCAGATCCCCCTATTTAAATTATCAGGGAGGGGAGCCTGACAGATGGGCTTGAGGTCTTGAGTGGTTTTAAGGCGTCTTATGCAACACTTTAAGCATCCGCTACAACAAAACAAAAGAAAACTGCTCCACTCAGTGATCCACAAGCGCTCTCCCTCTATTGCATTTTCCTTAAAACTTTTACTTTAATTGTTTTATGATTATTAGTTTTTCAGGATGTTCTTTTTATTATTAGTTTCTGACATTTTCTATCAAGAATGGCCTTCTTGTAGTTAGTCAGTTCATTATGTTCTAACAAAGAAAAGGAATGTGTCAGATTACCTGAACTCGCCTAGTCATGCATTATTTACTGAGCCCTGTTGGTGACGTCCTGTATAAATTAAAATAATGCCTGGCCACGACTTGGTAAAGCATGGGTATGAGATCCTAACGCGTGGCCGCGACTTAGGCATAGGTATGAGATCCTAATGTGTGGCCACGACTTAGTAAAGCATGGGTATGAGATCCTAATGCGTGGCCGCGACTTAGGCATAGGTATGAGATCCTAATGTGTGGCCACGACTTAGTAAAGCATGGGTATGAGATCCTAATGTGTGGCCACGATTTAGTAAAGCATGGGTATGAGATCCTAATGCGTGGCCGCGACTTAGGCATAGGTATGAGATCCTAATGTGTGGCCACGACTTAGTAAAGCGTGGGTATGAGATCCTAATGTGTGGCCACGAGTTAGTAAAGCATGGGTATGAGATCCTAATGTGTGGCCATGATTTAGTAAAGCATGGGTATGAGATCCTAATGTGTGGCCATGACTTGGTAAAGGATGGATATGAAATCCTAATGTGTGGCCACATCTTAGTAAAGCATGGGTATGAGATCCCAATGCATGTCCACGACTTAGTTAGACATGGGAACAAGTTGTGGCCATGCATTAGAATCTCATTGCCATGCCTTAATAAGTCATTGACACGACTTAATTATCTTGTTCCCATGCGTTACTAAGTCATGGCCACGCATAATTTTATTTATACAGGATGTCACCAGCGGCGCTCCATAATTAACTCAAATTATTATCATTTTTATTATTTTATTTTTTTGCTTGCTCAGCTTCCACTCTGACGCCACTTTATGGTTTGAAGGTGTAGATTCTGACCTCACAATGATTCGTTTCAATTGTGACTCAGGAAACAGATTTAACCCAGTTTGATTTGTTCATTTTAGTTGATTTTTTTGTTTTGAAAACTGAAGAAGTTGTTTTGGCCAAAAAATAATAACTTATTATAACTATTGTAATTGATGCAGCTGCATCGCCACATTCAGATTGGTGTAGAGGTGCAATCTTTACACCCCTACCTCAGTCTCCCGTGTGGCCGGTATTACAATCAGTGATGTCCACTAGGTCTGAAAACCATCACAAAGCTCCTTTGAAGTGTTTCTGGTCAGCTTTGCTGTTTCCTTGTTTTTTTCCTGATTCCCAGCTCTCACCGCTACAGAGAACGATCGTATTTCAAAGCCTGCTAAGTCAACAGATTTTAGCTGCAGTCTCCAAACCGCCAGTACGTCCTGTTTGTGAGCTGAACGATGCAGTGGAGGATTGTGGGTTGAGTTATTTGATGCAGAGGAACAACCTGAACAATACATAATCCAAGCCAATGGCAGAGGCCGGCGTCTGGCTGGCCTACAGTCAGAACACGCTCTTGTTTCTGTTTTGTTGTGTTCAGTATTCTTTTATAGTCCCAATGTCTGTTTTCTGGGTGGTGTCTTAAAGACATCATTCGCTCTCGGTAGTCTAACTATCACTGATGTTTTTCAGAAGAGAAATGCATTAATTATGTTTTGCTGGTTGGAGTTTTTATCTTACGTGTATAACAGAAATACCGTCGAGCATTACTGAGGTTTAACAGTTGAATCTCGACTTCGTCGAATGCTGAAAGTGCTGCTTGTGGATCGTGTGAGCTTATATGTTGGTGTGTGTTTTTGTATGATGTACAGTACTGGGCAAAAGTCAGAGATCATCCTTTATTTATCTCATTTTCAGTCGAAACGGCCGTTAAGTACAAGTTATTCATTTTTCAGCATCACAAAAAGCTGAAAAACATATAACTGAAAATTACACAGACGTCTTAACAAATAACATATCAGTTCCTTCAGTGTTTTACAGAAGTCTGGAGAGGCCATGAGCTGTTGCTGTAATTTTCTAGATTGTTGTGAGATCACAAGATAATTAACTTGTTAGCTCAAGATAACAACTTCGATATCTTGAGATCACAAGATAGTTAACTCATTATCTCAAGATAACTATCTTGAGATCACAAGATAATTAACTCGTGTTTGAGATCACAAGATAATTAACTTATTTCAAAATAACTGTTGTCTTGATCACAAGATAATTTACTCGTTATCTCAAGATAACAACTTTATCTTGATCACAGGATAGTAAACTCATTGTCTCAAGATAACAACTTTGTTGTCTTGATCACAAGATAATTAACTGTATCTCAAGTTAACTTTATCTTCAGATCACAAAAAATTAACTTATCTCAAAATAACAACTATAATGAGAACACAAGATGGTTACATCATTATCTCAAGATAACAAATTTGTTGTCTTGAGATCACAAGATAGTCAACTCTATCTTAAGAGAACAACTTTGTTGTCTTGAGATCACAAGATAATTAACGTGTTATCTCAAGATAACAACTTTGTAATAAAGCTCTTCGGCTTTATTACAGCTTCCATTCTTTTCAGGAGACTCAGTTTCTCGGAGAAATCTGCAGGGATATTTTTCACACCTCCTAAGTTCAGTTTTAGAAGTTGGTTGTAGTTTTCGCTTCACATCTGAATCAAGAGTGGAGCTTGATTTTCTCCTCTCTCTCAAAGATGAAGCTTTCAGTGCTGTTTATCTGATGGGGGCAGTTGTGGTGTTTACCAGGTCTTCCAGGTGGTTGTTAGGAGGCACATTTTCTCTGTAGCTTTTAATCATTTTTCAAATTCCAGTTTTGGAAACTTGTTCACTTTTTTTATCTTTAACTTTACCTCTTCCTTATGCAAGTCGATCCGCTTCTGTCTAATATTCATAAAAATATCCTGAACATTTGGACTGGAAATTAAATAAATGGAGGGTCTCTTGACTTT